GGCTTGGATTTGGGCCAAAACTATAGTCAGGACTAAAAGGTATGCCTTTTCCTGAGATGTGAAATATTGACCCCTAGAGCAACGACCTGAACATCTATTTTGTTTAACTAGCGCTCCCACCATGTGACTGTCTTCCAGGTACTGGGCTAAGAACTTTACAAGTTTTCGCTCACCTAATTTAAGCCGCTTTCCTAATTTACGTCTTACCATGAATCTCTAATGGAGGTCCTAATTTTATCTTCCCCATTGTACAGGTAATAAAACGAAGGCACAGAGGAATAATAATGTGCCCCAGATCGCTCAGTATTGTAAGTGCGGCCTGAGATCTGAATCGGGGCCATCTGGTAACCTTCTGGGTTCCTAACCACTACGCTGGCCTGTGTTTTCCATGCTAAACTGCCTGAGGGAGCTGAAGTCACAGCACAGAGTAGGACCAAAATCACAACACAGAGTAAGACCAAAATCACAGCACAGAGTAGGGCTGAAATTCATGGGGCCTGGGGTTGGGGGCAGGGGAGGAGCAGCTGTCAGCTTGCTATCAGAAAGGCCTTGAGAAAGAGGATTTGGAATGTACAGAGAATAAATTTTAGCTGTCCATTGTTTGAAATACACTCTTACTTTTTGATTTACAAAAGTAACACATCAAACAACACAAAGGATGCCAGGCTAGGGAGGTTGCGCTCAGCTCGTCCTGCGCTTCAACAATATTAGCTCAAGAGGTGTATCCTTCCATTCTGCCACCACACACGCACACACACACACACACACAGGCTGCTTTCTATAAAAATGACAGCATGGCCAGTAATGTCTCCAACTTGTCTGCCCCTCGCCAATAAATATATCGTGTCCCCCCCAAGTAAATGGAGACCCGTTTAGTTGGCTGTTGGATAATGTTCCACAGACTGCCCCATCTTTTTGTTCGCTCTTTTCCTCACTAATGAGGAGCCGGCGAAGTGCCAGGGCTGGACGGAACCGCGGTCCACGCCTGCAGGACCGGGCCGGCGCGCTGGGCCCACGGGCCGCCACACAAAGGAGCGCTGTCCCCGCCAGGCGCCGCCCCTCGGGCGCCCGCCGGCCCGGAGGAAGTGGGGTGGAGACTCCTCAGGAAACCCCTCCTCTGCTCCCGCCCGGCTCCTCCGGCTCCTCCAGCTCCGGCTCCCGGCTCGGTCGCCCCCTCCGCGCCGGCCCGGGACCGTGCGCGCCCAGCCCTGCCCCGCCCGGCGCCCCCCGGGAAGTTGCGGGGCGGCCTGGTGAGTGGCCCCCGGAGCCCGCGGGCTGGATGGACTCGGCCTGGGCCTGGGCGAGGGCGGGCGGGAGGCAGAGGGGGCTGGGGGAGAGGGGAGGCGAGGGGCTGGGTGCCCAGATCGGGGCTGGCACCCTGGCTGTCAGCGCCCGCGGGGGGCCCGGCCCCGGGTCCGCAGCCCCCGCCCGCCGCGCTGCTGCTCCTCCCCCCGGGGCTCTGACATCTGATGTGGCTTTGCTGGCTTTGTGTGGTCGAGCTGCGCACAGGCCTGGCCAGAGAAACACCGTGTAATCTGCAACTTTATCGGATGAGAAAGACTTAGCCCCGGGAGGAGGCGAGGCGCGCGCAGGGTCACCCGGGGAGCTGGTGACAGAGCATCACTTCTGGCCTACTGCCCTTTGGCCTTTGCAAATACCGTCCCCGGGACTGAGAGCCTCACCTCTGCCCCGGATTGGGACGTGTGTGTGTGTGTGTGTGTGTGTGTGTGTGTGCGCGCGCGCGCGTGCGCGCGCACGAGTGAGTGTGCTCCCACCCACCCAGACCCGGTGCCAGCCGGACTGCAGAATTAGCTGCCAAGCTGAGCTTTTCCACTTGGCTCCCCGCCTCCCCCTTGTGCCTCCCCTCTCCTCGATGCCCGCCCACCCCCCAGCCCCTCCTCGCTCCTCTGACGTCCTGGCTATGCTCTTTGCGCGCTGGCTCCGGGCCTGGGGCGGACAGGAGGAGGGAGAAGTTAGTACTGACAGCCCCTCCGTGTTAAGAATGTCCTGTCTCTGGCTCGCGCACTGTCCATTGCACAGAGCACCCTCCCAGGCAGGCGGATCAGCAGCAGCGCCTGGGCTTTATTTTATTATTATTTTTTTAGTAACCAGGGTCACCTCACTCCTGGGCTAGGGCTCCTGCATCTTGCGGGGAGTTATCTAGGGAGAGAAGTGAGCTGATCCAGAGAGGACAGAGAGCCCCCATGGGAACCAGGGAATATGAGGATGGGGTAAGGTGGAAATAAGGGATTGGAAGAGGCAAAGTCAGGGATCCAGCTTGCTTTCCTGGGGATGGGGAAGGGATGGTTGGGGAGGTGATAGTCTGTCTTTTAAGCTGGGTGGCAGCGGGTGTACAGATGGGAGCTTCTTTTTTGCCATCTATCCTTGCACGTGTATTACCTATTCTTTAACTAGAGGAACTAAATCATTTTAAAGTGGAAATCAAGTAAGACTGAGCTGGGCCTGTGTAGGACAGAGTAGGGAGGAAGGGCTTGAGACAACCCACTTCCAGTTTTGTCAAAGTTGATGGATGTTGGGAAAGATATTGGACAAATATAGAAATAAAGACAAAGGGTCCGTGGAAGAAAGCAGCGTGCACTTTGGTTCATGAGGACTGATAGAACGGGATGTCTGATACTCCGTTTTTCAAGCCCAGGGTAGCTCTTTGCTGAGAAGGTGACCTTATATTAGCACTTACAGCCACACCCTCCACTCAGTCCTCCATCCAGGAGTACCCGCTTGTTCTGAGTACCTGTTTGTTCTCAGAGACGCTAAAGAACAGAACCTACCCCCTGACCAGCACGTCCCCACTTTGGGGATTTGAAAACAAGCTCTAATGCAAGTTGTGGTGCAATAGCCCCGGGGGGCCTGCTACCCACCTTCCCTTCTGGGTACATATCTCAAAGGGAAGCAGTTTAGGCCCCATGGAGCTGCCTAGTAGTAGGAATGGGAGTTGTGTAAAGATCTCTCTCTGGGTTACAGATTGTGCCTGGGGTACCCTCTGCTTTTGAGGTGCCTTGGGTTCCAGTAAGCTAGAGGGGTCCAGAGTGGGCCAGGGGGACCAGGGGAGGAACCTTGCCAGGAGAGAAGCAGGGACTCCCCATGGAGCTAGGAGAACCAGAGAGTCAGAGAGCTGGCGAGAATGGGAAAGTGCAGGGAACCCCACAGCACTGCAGGGAACCCCACAGGGGTGGAAATCAGATGTATTGGTGGGCAATTGTACAGCCTGGGGGGGAGAGGAAGGAAGATGCTTTAGGGCCAGTGAGATGGGATCAGTTGATGAACCTAAATGTGTATATACTCAGCCATTTACTGTGTGTTTTACTTGCTTGATGGACTTTATATTAGCTAGAAATGTGTTATTTCTAATGGTAATGGTAATGCATTCGGCATGAGGGGCTGGAGATGTGTATAAAGAGAAAATATACCGAAATCTCTCCCCAGCCTAATGCAATCAGTGTTAGCATGTTAGCATGTTCTTATGGGGCTTTCATGAACAAAATGCATACACAATGCTGGTACTTAGCAGGTGACTGTTAAGTCTCTGGAACTTGATTGAGAAGGTCGGCTTGCCATCTACCATCGATCATCTAGGAGATTTGAACCAGTAACACATTTCCCGTCACTGGGTTTTTTGTTTTGTTTGTTTGCCCATCTGTAGTGATAGTACACACCTCCTGGCTTTATTGTCAGGATTAAATCACTTTTGTAAAGCTTTTTCAGTAATGCCTGGAACGTGCAAAGCACTGTCTATGTCATTACTGCTACTAAAATTACTAGTACTACTATTATTATCTTCTTTCATATGAAAATGGGTTTGTGTCCTACATATTATAGTGACTTAAATTTTCACTTAAAAGATATCTAGGACACTCTTTGAGGTAGATGCAAAATAGATTTAGCTCATCCTTTATAACAGCTCTGCGATTGTCCATCATGCAGGATGTCACATGATTCCAATATCCTGGCTCTCCACTTGTGCGATGGCTGGCTAAGATGACACTGGTTGCTCTCAGGGTGCAGGGAAGGGGACACTGGCACAGAGAAGGGACCTCAGGTGTTTTTGGCCTTCCCTCCACTCCCCTGGGCCAGCCCCAGAGGTCAATAGCAGGAGGAGAATTGGAGGAAAGCCTCCAATTCTTTGCCTTTCAAATCTCCCAACCGCCTGCCCATGCCTTTGTCACTTCTCCATAGATGTTTCTTCTCCCAGGAGAGGTCTGCCGTGCCATGTGGGTCTCTCCCTGGCCGGCCGGGAATCGAACCCGCACTGCAGAGGCTGCAGACAGCTTCACAGCGCTGCGCTCAACCTGCTGCACCACTGGGAAGGCCCCAGAAATTTATTCTTTCACAGTTCTGAAGACTTAGAATTGTGAAATCTAGGTACTTGAAGTTTCGTTCTTTCTGGAAGTTCTGAAGCTGACTGTGTCCCTTGCCTCTCTCTTAGCACCTGGTGGTTGCCAGCAGTTTTGGGCCTTCTTGGTGCATAAAAGCATCTCTCCAATCTCTGCCTCCATCTTCTCAGAACATTCTCTCCTGTGTATCTGTAGCTCTCTGTGTCCAAATTCCCTCTTTTTAGAAGGCCACCAGCTGTTAGAGTAGGACCGTCTCAAGTCCAGCGTGACCTCACCTTAACTTGACTATATCCTCAAGACCCCCATTTCCAAATACGGTCACAGCCACAAGTGCCAAGGGTTACATCTTACACATCTTTCTTTGGGGACACAATTTCACCCTCATTCTTCACTCCTGTAGTTTCCTTCTGTGACAGAGAATTGTCTGACCCTTTTAGTTTGACCGTATGGGTTTAGGAGGAGAGGACATGATGTGGTCTCTTGGGTTGGAGACATGGACAGCCTGGCGCGTGCTGGAGCCATCCCAGTGGCGCGTCATCTGCATAACAGGAACAACTGCCCCTTCCTGGGAGGAGTGAGCCCTTTGCTTGACTGTCTACTTGTGCATCTCATTTTCACCAGGCTGAGTCTTTGCTTTCCTCTCTGCAGACACTGATCCAGCCATGGCGACTCCCTCTGCTGCCTTTGAGGCCCTTATGAATGGAGTGACCAGCTGGGATATCCCCGAGGATGCCACCCCAAGTGAACTGCTGCTCATTGGAGAGGCCTCCTTCCCGGTGATGGTGAATGACGTGGGCCAGGTCCTCATCGCTGCCTCCTCCTATGGCCGCGGCCGCCTGGTAGTAGTGGCCCACGAGGACTACCTGGTGGAGGCCCAGCTCACTCCCTTTCTGCTCAATGCAGTGGGCTGGCTTTGTTCTTCCCCTGGGGCCTCCATCGGAGTGCACCCATCCCTGGCACCCTTGGCCAAAATCCTTGAGGGCTCTGGTTTGGAGGCGAAGATCGAGTCGGAAGTGAAAGACTCCCTGGGGGTTTACTGTATCGATGCCTACAATGAAACCATGACTGAGAAGTTGGTCCAGTTTATGAAACGCGGCGGGGGCTTGCTCATTGGAGGCCAAGCCTGGGATTGGGCCAACCAGGGCGATGATGAAAGGGTCCTGTTCACGTTCCCCGGCAACCTCGTGACCAGCGTGGCCGGCATATACTTCACTGAGAACAAAGGGGACACGAGTTTCTTTAAAGTCTCCAAGAAGATGCCCAAGATCCCAGTCTTAGTTAGGTGAGTGCGTAACCCAGTGAGGAACTGATCTCAGGTTAAAAGGCAGACGTGGTTCTTATCTTCACATTGTTCTCAGGCTAAAGAAAATAACTTGCCACTCAGTTGTAGATTCACCATAAATCCACCAAATTTTAAAAATACCCCGACACACAGAAGGTGCCAGGGCCCGATTGCTGCCGCCTCCTCAGAGCAGACCACCTAGCTTAGTGATCGCTTCTTAGGGATCTCTGTCCCAGCCCATTCCATTCCCCCCAAGGATCTAACTTAATAAAATATATTGCTGGCCCCAAGAGTTGGCATTGCTAATCCAGGAAGGTTCATAGAAGAAGGTGGTTTTTGACTGAAATGTGAGGAAGAGGGAAACAGATCCCATAAGACAAAGTCTGGAGAGCTGTGGAAAAAGATCCGGAATGTCAAGCCAGATGGGGTCAGCATGGAAGTAAGAACTCAAGGATTCAGAAGTTGGGAGAGTGGAAAGGAGGGCCAAGTTCTGTGTTACATGTAGGAGTCAGGAAAGGATTTTACCTCTGGGGCAAAAGACCTGACGATGGAGAATGCAGGAGGCAGAGGAGGCTGCACTGGAAGTTCTCTGACACCACTATGATCTGTGCCCCTCGTGCTCCAGCGAGCATCTCCTGCAGAGCTGGACACAGAGCAGCTTAGCAGGGGACAGGGGACTTAGGAAACAATCTTTGGGTGGAGAAAGAGGGAAATAGAAGACAGAGCGGTCCCAGGAGTAGAAGACAGGCCCAGGTCATGTCCTGTGTTATTAAAACCGTCAGCATCCTTGGAGCCCAGAGCACTGGTATTTGGGACCAGTAGGGTTGGGTACAGAAGGACACCAGGGTGAGTATGGGGTTTTAGGGAAAGAATTATGGCCTCTCCTTGGCTTGGAGCTCCTCAGCACCCCACAACTCCATTCTCTCATGGGCAGTGAGGGAGGAAGCATAGTGATTGATCAGACTGATCAGACTTCAGCTCTTCATCCTAAGGAACGGGAAGGTAAGACTTGGTCATAATCCTGTTTAACAACCCGGGCCCCCTTTGTTGTCTGAAAGGATATTTCTCTCCTAAAATTATATGTCTTTGATTCTTTGTCTATGCCTAAATGATCTCTCACCATCATAGAATCTGATTTGGGAAGGGTTAGGGTATCTGTGGGCTCACACATGCATGAAGTCAACTGAAGGCTAATATTTCCACCATGGAGACAATGGATGATGCTGCTGTTAGTTACTTACTAGGAATAATTGCCTTGCAGCTCTTGATTCTGCTTATTCAGGTAGGTATTTCATGGCACGACTCATACATCTGATGGGTCATTTTTTGACCAATGGAAGATGGCATTAGTGATTTTCCTGAGCTACTTGGCTAAGATGAAGTAAGGAGAAAAAAGTAAAAGGTATGAGGATATATCTATGTGTGTGTGTGTGTGTGTGTGTTATTCATGCATGTGTGTGTATATATATAAATTTATATATTTTTTATTTATATATATTTATATTTATATATATATGTAAAGAAATACTTGTCAATGCTTAGGTTGAGATTAGTAGGGGAAAAAAGAAAACAAAACACCTCTTCTTTTCACTGACAATTTTAATACTAGTTCTCCAGTACCCAGTACCCAGTACTGCAAGGGTCACATTGGCTGCCTTTCTCCCACCCAATGTGGTGGTTACATATTTGTGTGGGTTTATATAGGAGCTTTCTTCGCTGGTCTGTGTTTCTGGTCTTGTTCCAGAACCATATTCTTTTGTGTCCAGCTGCTGTCTAGTAGATTTTGAAGTCAGGGAGCATGATCTTCCAGCTTTTCTCCTTTTCTCTCAAGATTGTTTGGCTATTCAAGGCTTCTTATGGTTCCATGCAAATTTTATGATTGTTTGCTCTATTTCTTTGAAAAAGTCATTGGCATTTCTTTTTTTTTTTTTTTTTTTTTTTTTTTTAAAGATTTATTTTTATTTATTTATACAAGCACTGGGTACAGTCAGAAGCGCGGGAGGGTGAGAGAATTCACCAGAGCCAGAGCGGGGAGCAGAGCAGGCAGAAGGACCGAAGCACACTGCTGAGGGGAGCAGCGGGCGGCAGGAGAGGTCTGCGCGCCATGTGGGACCCTCCTCCGGTGGCCGGGGAGCAGCCGGGGATTGAACCGGTGCCGCAGAGGCTGCGGGCAGCTTCGCAACCCAGCGCTCAACCGCTGCGCCACCGGGGAGGCCCGTCATTGGCATTTCAATAAGAATTGTGTTGAACCTGTCAATTGCTTTAGGTAACATGCCATTTTAAGGTTGTTTATTCTTCCCATGAGCCTGGGATAGCTTTCCATTTCTTTGTGTCTTTTATTTAAGAGTCTTAATGGTTTTCAGTGTATAGTTCCTTTCCCTCCTCCTTACATTTATTCCCAGATATTTCATTCTTTTTGGTGCAGTTGTCAATGAGATTTGTTTTAAGTGTCTCTTTCTTCTAAGTCATTGCATATATCGAATGCAACAGATTTTTGTGTATTCATTTTGTACCCTGCTGTATTTTACTGTAGTCATTTATTATTTCTAGTAGTTTTTTCATAGTCTTTTGGATTTTTCTTTGTATATTATCCAGTTCTCTGCAAATAGTGATAGTTTCACTTCTCTTTTCCAATTTGGATTCATTTTATGCCTTCTTGTCTAATTGCCCTAGCTAGGACTTCCAGTGCTATGGTGAATAGCAATGGTGAGAGTGGACATCCTTGTCTTGTACCAGATCTTAGTACAAATGCTTTTAGTTTTCAATTTTGTTGTTGCTTTTTGCCTTTGAGTATAATATTGGCTGTGGACTTGTTGTATAAAGACTTTATTATGTTCAGATAAGTTTTGTTTATTCCCACTTTATTGAGAGCTTTATCATAAACGGGTGTTGAATCTTATTGAATGCTTTTTTTGTGTCAGTTGAAATAGTCATGTGATTTTTTACCTCCCATTTTGTTGATCTGGTGAATAAATGGGTGTCTTGTTTAAAATTTTTTCATTTTATAAAACATTATAGTATAAACCTACAATATAGCTTTTTTTTTTTTATCTTTGTATATTATTCCTTCTTTTATTTACAGTTTATAATATATTTATCTTAGCCTATGTGTTATTTCAAATTCTGTTCATAAAATTTTCATTCTGCATAATCTTTAAAATTACATTGGATTCACTTTTTGGAAATGCAGTGAGTATATCTTACTCAATCATTTCCTTGCTATTGAGCCTTTGAATGTGTCTCCACTCTTGTTGTAATAGGTAATACTGTATGAAATACCCTCAAAGCCTCTTAGAAATACTAGGCAATACAAGACACAGAGCTGCTCCTGTGATAACTCAAAAAGAAAGATTATTTTCATCACAGGCTAAGTGAGTGAGGTCAACGTGAAAATCTCAGTGGATCTTGTCACTCTACTAAAGTGTCTTCTTAATTTTTAAACCCCCATATGACTATATAAGTGTGAATTAAGATAGTTTTAACTCGAATGATTGCCCATTTCTATTCAAAATAAAATCTAAACAAGATCTTGGGAACCTTTCAGTCTTCTCAGTGAGTAAATTGTCTGCACTTCTTATCATAATGAATCAAATTTTTTATCAGAAAGAGTCACTACTTTTTGGATCAAAAAATAAGGCCCCAAGAAATAAAAACAGCTGATGTAACAAGAACACCCACAGATGTCAGGAGGCTCATAGTCTCTACCCTCATTTCCTGCCTGGGAACTCCAGATTATAAAGAGATTTCAGAATTTTGAAAATTGAATGTCTACTTGAATTTAGTTCACATGAACAAGAAAACTGCCAAATTTCTGAAGGTAAACATGAATATGTCTCCCCAAGTAGTTTGGAAAATAAAAATATCTGAGCAGATATTAATAAGCTTATTTATAACAAGGATCCACAAATCCCTTGGATGTCATTAGCAATATGTGGAATGCTAATTCTAGATCCTATGTCAGGATCTTAACCAGGCGTGGCAAGAGTGAATATACTTATCTAACTTGTACTTTGCTTCCACTACATTCACCAAAATCCACTGGATTCACTTGTTGGGAATGCAGTGAGTATATCTTATTAATATGTAAACATATTCGCTGTAAGTACTTGGCAGTTTCCTTCTAGAAAGATTTTAACATGTCAGCTTTCCCCAGGTGACCTACAGACTCAATCCAATCCAATGCAATGATTCTAGAATGAATGTGCACATGAAAGTAACAAATATAATCTAATTTCAAAACATATTAGGAAGCTAATAATAAAAACACTGGGATTGGCATAAGGATAGACACACAGATTAATGGAATGGGCTGTGTAGTGCAGAAACTGACTGATTCATGGTCAGTAATTTTTGACAAAGGTAATTCAATTAGGAAAGGACAATCTTTTCAACCTATGGTTCTGGAGCAGCTGACCACTCTTATGGAAAAAACGGTGAATTGTGACCCTGAACTTACAAAGTGCTGAAATAGAAAACTAGTTTTTTATTTTAGTATCACCAACGTAATGATAGAGTAAGATGTTGCTTGAGAAATAGAAATGTCACAAAGCTAGAACATTCTGGTTGGCCTGGCTAGTGACTATGTGCTCTGGACAGATGATCATGAGAAGCCAGATTATCATCACCAGGTTGTTGTGTGCATCTGGAATCAGAACAAGCAGAACTAACTGAATGGCTTGAAATGTTAGTGATTCTAAGAGCTGATGGCTCATCTAGGAGGGTGATGCCTTCCTCTTTAGGAAGAGGTTGTGCCTGCTATGGGGACTACAGTTTTCCTACCAGTTGATGAGAGAACAGCAACACTACACATGTCTAACGGACTCCCATTCCAGTGCTTTCTTACAACCACAAAGCCAGTGCTCAAGCTTACAGGGGTCACTCTGCCTCATCCATCAGTCATGCCACAAAGGTGTCTGACCTCCATTTACCATTTGGGGATTATGGAATTCCTGAGATCTTTTGGGGGGCATGGAATGGGTTGTTACCCACAGATAGGACCAGATGGATAGCTTGGATATCCTCATCCCGTGAGCCAACCATGAATAGGTGGACTGCAGGTGTGGACAAATGAGTCCTCTTGGGCTCAGATGACTAGCAGGTCCCACTACCATTCCTGCCTTGCCTTTTGAAATAGAGTGATTCTTCACCAGCCCAGTAACTAAGCTCTCCGTCCACTTTATTTGCAGGAGATTATAAATAAGAAAGGTCTAAATAAGATTCTTTATGAGAACGAAATGAGCATTTCCCATTCAGTTCTTTATATAATGCTTCAAAGGCTGAAATAAGTCTTAAATCGTGAATACTCAGCAATTGAGATTGCCTTTGGAGGACTTGATTGCCAAGAATGAGCAGAGTAGAATTAACATTCTCTTTTCCCTCAAACAAACCTCCATACCCAGTGAAGTCAGATCTGCCCACTTACAGATGTGCACCTGTAAGTGTTCAACACAATAATACAGTGGGCACTTATACAACAGGGAACAGGGGCTAGATCACCCACCTTTGCTCAGTCGAAAGTCTGTACAAAACATTTGACCACCCAGAACTTCACTAATAGCCTGCTGTTGGCTGGAATCCTTACTAATAACATAAGCAATGGATTAGCACGTATTTTGGATGTTATATGCATATTATACTGTATTACAATCTTGTAAGCTAGAGAAAAGAAAGAGCATTAAGAAAATTATAAGGACCAGAAAGTACATTTACAGCATCGAGCTGTATATATCAACACTGAGTTTATGGCATCTGCTTACTAGAAAATCCACTCAGGAGGGGCCCACGGAGCTCAAACCGTGATGCCCCAGGGCGCCCTGTGTTAGTGAAATTGGCACCCTGTCATCTAAGAGCTGCTCCGTAACAGAACATGCGTGTCTTGCAGCTGCGAGGACGACCTCTCAGAGGACAGAGAGGAGCTCCTGCACGGCATCTCGGAGCTGGACATCACCAACTCGGATTGCTTCCCGTCCCAGCTGCTGGTGCACGGGGCCCTGGCCTTCCCCCTGGGCCTGGACTCCTACCACGGCTGTGTGATTGCGGCCGCCCGCTACGGGCGCGGCCGGGTGGTGGTGACTGGCCACAAGGTCTTGTTCTCCGTGGGGAAGCTGGGCCCCTTCTTGCTCAACGCTGTCCGCTGGCTGGACGCGGGCCGCCGGGGCAAGATCGTGGTGCAGACAGAGCTGAGAGCGCTAAGCGGCCTGCTGGCAGTGGGGGGCATCGACGCCAGCGTGGAGCCCCACCTGACCAGTGATGCCAGCGTCTACTGCTTCGAGCCCATGAGTGACGTGGGGGTCAAGGAGCTGCAGGAGTTTGTGGCGGAGGGCGGGGGGCTGTTTGTGGGCGCCCAGGCCTGGTGGTGGGCCTTCAAGAACCCCGGAGTGTCCCCTCTGGCCCGGTTCCCAGGGAACCTCCTCCTCAACCCCTTCGGCATCAGCATCACAAGCCAAAGCCTGAACCCAGGGCCCTTTCGCACCCCGAAGGCAGGGATCAGGACCTATCACTTCCGTTCCACCCTGGCCGAGTTCGAGGTCATCATGGGCAGGAAGCGCGGGAACGTGGAGAAGGGCTGGCTGGCCAAGCTGGGGCCCGACGGCGCGGCCTTCCTCCAGATCCCGGCTGAGGAGATCCCCGCCTATATGTCGGTGCACCGGCTCCTGAGGAAGCTGCTGAGTCGCTACCGGCTCCCCGTGGCCACCCGCGAGAACCCGGTTATCAATGACTGCTGCCGGGGTGCCATGCTCTCCCTGGCCACAGGTCTGGCCCACTCCGGAAGTGACCTGTCTCTGTTAGTGCCGGAAATTGACGACGTGTACAGCAGCCCCTACCTGCGCCCCTCGGAGTCCCCCATCACTGTGGAGGTCAACTGCAACAACCCAGGTAAGGAAGGAGGTGGGCACCTGGGGTGGGTGTGGTGATGCCAGCAGCTCATGGCAGGGTCTGGTCTCCACCAGGGCATCGCCACCTGTTGCTGTGCATGGTAGATGGGCTGGGGTGGTAATATTTGTAAGAAATGAGTCAGGGAGGGCTGTAGGGGGGAGGTGCGACACTCATGAGGGGCTGGGGGAGGAGGGATCGAGCAGCCCTCTCTCTTTCCTGCAGGCACCAGGTACTGCTGGATGAGCACCGGGCTCTACATCCCAGGGAGGCAGATTCTAGAGGTCTCGCTGCCTGAAGCTGCGGCCTCTGCCGACCTGAAGGTAAGTCCCCGCCCAGCCCACCTGGAAATGTGGGGCCAGTGGACATCATATTTATCCATGGTTTTTGGTCTGCCAAAAAAAACCCTACTGGCAATACAGGGCACGTACCTCCTCCTGCGTTTAAAGGGTGAGGAAACTAGGCACGGAATAGCTAATTGCCCCAGAGGCTGCGGCTCAGACCTGGCCAGCTTCTGCCTTGTGCATTTCACTTACGCCATCACCTGGGGAATAAGAAAGGGACCCCACGGCAGCGCTCTGGCACGTGGTGTATCTCATCAGTTTTTGTTGCCGTTCTCTGCCGCATGCATCTGTCTCCCGTGCACGCCAGGTCTCTGACTCCAGCACCTCCCTGGCTGCCCAGCCCGCCTCTGTTTTCTCACTTTCACATACACACACCCTCTTCCGAAAATAAGTTGCTCCCCTGCTCTGTCCCCCTGAGGGTCACTGTGACCCACCTGTGGCCTGTTTAGCATCGATCCGGGAGAACAACCCAGGACTCCATCAACTACGGGGCTCACTTTATTGGCCCAGGAGGGAGGCTAGAGTCTGGGGAGAGTCCAACGCCACACTCCATCAGCCGCCCCACGGCCCCCACCCCCATCCACAAGAGACACGATTCCTTCTGCCCATTCCTAGTGCAGAATCACCACTGCAGGAGGCAACCTGGGGTTCTGTATTGTAGAACCCGAGACCCCTGGAGGGGCTGCCCTCTCAGGCTCAGCCTGGGGGTCACAGCTGGTGCTCCCACATCAGCAACTCAACATGACTCTTTGTGGGACTGTTTGCCTCCTCGGGAGGATTCTACACACAGTTCGGTCCGCATGACCTGGAGGACGGATGGTTTCATGGGTTTCGTGCTCACAACACGCGTGGTGGGCAGGCTGGGGTGCACGGGGCCCAGTGAACCTTCCTGCCTCCACCTCCTGCTCACCCTCCTTGTGCCCAAGGTGACTCTGGGGGTCTGTCTTCCCCAGATACAGATAGGCTGCCACACGGATGACCTGACCAGGGCCAGCAAGCTGTTCCGAGGGCCCCTGGTGATCAACCGGTGCTGCCTGGACAAGCCCAGCAAGTCCATCACCTGCCTTTGGGGGGGGCTGCTCTACATCATCGTGCCGCAGAGCAGCAAGCTGGGCACCGTGCCCATCACCGTCAAGGGTGCCGTGCATGCCCCCTACTACAAGCTGGGTGAGTGGAGGTCCTGGGGCGCACCCCAAGGGCAGGGAGAGGAGGCCACTTGCTCTTTAGTGTAGGAAGACAGCTTCAGATCCGCTCAGGGACGGGAGGCGAGCTTCTCGACTTAGCAGCCGCAGAGATGAAAGACCAAAGCACATCCCGGGGAATTCACAGAAGGGTGAGGAGGGAGGGTACGGTGGCCATGTCCTTGGCATCCTCCTGGGGTTCTAGTTGGGTGCTGCAGCAGCAGGGGTGTGGAAAAGTGAGAGCCAAGCCCCTGGCCTGTCTTCCCAGGGGAGACGTCCCAGGAGGAGTGGAAGAGGCGGATCCAGGAGCATCCGGGGCCCTGGGGAGAGCTGGCCACGGACAACATCATCCTGACGGTGCCGACCGCCAACCTCCGCACGCTGGAGAACCCCGAGCCGCTGCTCCGCCTCTGGGATGAGGTGATGCAGGCGGTGGCCAGGCTGGGCGCCGAGCCCTTCCCTCTGCGCTTGCCTCAGAGGATCGTGGCCGACGTGCAGATCTCAGTCGGTGGGTGCTCCCCGCATGACCCCGGGCTTCCTTCCAACAGCCATGCCAGGGCAGCCAGTGGGGTCAGAGGGTTTTCCTAGCAAGACATGGAAGGTGTCATCCTTGCCATATAACTGGAAAGAGTGTATTTTAAAAATACAGACTCAGCAGCCTCCGTCTACAAAAATTGCCAACCGCCTAAATATCCAGAGTATGGAGTGATTCGGTAACAATGTCCCTTCAACCAAGGTTGAGGAGGCCATTTAAGGTAACCCGTTGATGGCATAAGGAATATGGTGAGACCCGAGACATGGAGAAAGCGGGCTGTCCAGCCGCATGTCGCCAGTGTAGTAAAATACACGGTGGTCTAAGCACCCAGTCACCGGGCACCACACAGTGGCGGGGTGGGGGGATGCAGAAGGTCCATGGTCTCCCCATTGTCCAACATGGGTCTCTGCAGAGTGGGTGAGACGTCCAAGGCCTTGACCGAGGCTCCAGGTGTTGGGAGAAGGAATTGAGCAACTAGAGAAGGGGCAGCTCTCCACCCTGCCAACTGTGACGATATAAACCTGTCCTTTTAAAATTAAAACAAAAGAAACCCAACAAGCTTAGCGAAGACACTGAGAAAAGAGATTTTTGCAAATAAGTGGGGGGGGGGCGCGTGTAGAAATTACAGGACCCTGAAAATTTCCACCCTGGCTCTCTTGGCTGACATAAGTGGCCATTGTGAAGTCACTAATTTCGGGTGACTCCGTGCCTACATACAGAGAGGGCAGCCCATCCTCAGAGGCCTCGGCTGTGAGGACACTGTAAGGAGACAGGCCCACATGGGCAAGCGTGCTTAGACAAGCAGGGAACCATGACCCGCCATCTGCCCTGCTCCCCGGCCCTCCCGCGGCCGAGCCCGCTCAGATCGGAGAGCAGAGGGCGTCCTTGCAGAACGCGCGGAGGAGAGAGGCAGGCCCGGGAGGGTGTAGGTCTGGAGCATTAGAGGGGCTCCAGAAGTCACCTGGGGCCTTGGGGAGTGACAAAGACCGAGAACTGCGTGGCGGGGAGCACACTGAGCCTCTCCTTCTGCGTTTCCCAGGCTGGATGCACGCCGGGTACCCCATCATGTGCCACCTGGAATCCGTGCAGGAGCTCATCAACGAGAAGCTCATCAGAACCAAGGGCCTGTGGGGGCCCGTCCACGAGCTGGGCCGCAACCAGCAGCGGCAGGAGTGGGAGTTCCCGCCGCACACCACTGAGGCCACCTGCAACTTGTGGTGTGTGTACGTGCATGAGACGGTGCTGGGCATCCCCCGGGGCCGGGCCAATATTGCTCTGTGGCCCCCAGTTCGGGAGAAGAGAGTGAGAATCTACCTGGGCAAGGGTCCCAACGTGAAAAACTGGAATGCATGGACGGCGCTGGAGACGTACCTACAGGTAAATGCCTGGCACGGAGGGGACCACGGCGGCAGCGTTATTAGGTGATGTTCTGGTGACCCAGGAGACCCCTGGTTCATGTCCCCAAGCCAGGCAAAGCCCAGGTGTGACGGTCCCATTTGAAGAAGCCTCTACATGACCCTGCAGTTAATTTACTCGCCTTAAATGAGTCCCCACCCCACCTCCCTGCCCCCACCCCACAATCTGGACACTATGAGAGTAGATAGAAAGCAGCGAGAAAGGTTCCAAATGGTAGAGGCGGGGCCTCCCTGGAGGTGCAAGGAGTTAAGACGCAGCCTATGAAGCTATCCACAGCCACTGCAGCATGAGCTTGATCCCCAACCAGGGAGCTGACCCACATGGCACAGCAGACCTCTCCTGCCTCCCTGCTGCTCCCCTCAGCAGTGGATTTCAGTTGATCCACCTGCTCTGTTCCCCGCTCTGTCTCTGGTGAATCCCCTCACCCCCACACCTCTGGCCTGCACCCCAGTTCTTGTATGCATAGATAAACCTTTAAAAAAAAAACAAAATGGCAGCAGCAATTATAGCACTGGAAATATACCACCACTGGCTTTAAACCAGACACACCTGACAGCGAAGCCGAACTCTGCTATGTAACACTATCTGAAACCAAACAACCCTCCCCCCACACAATGAGTGGAATGTGAACGATTTTTATCCGCGAATGCAGAACATCTCTGCGTCTCACGTTCCTCCTCAGTCCATCCAGGCTGCCCCACTTTGTCTTTAAATTGTCATTCAATGCCCCATCCCTTGTCCCTTCCCTGGATGGCTCCCAGCTCACTGTGGAGTGTCATTACCTTGGATTCCGGGACTCCGTCTCGGGCCAGGAGCACGCTATTCTGGTTCTTCCACCTGTTCCAGTTTCTCTATTCATTCCCCATGGCTCTGAGAACAACGGTGACTGTGCCAGAGAGGCCGGGCCTGGTCTTAGGGGCCCTTCACCCCAGAGACAAAGTTCCTCGTCTGTGACATGAAGTTGAGGTTGGTCTAGGGAACTGCTCAGTGTTAAAATCCACCATGCAGCCTGGCCACTGTTTCCAAAGCCTGGGGTGGGCTGCCTTTTTCCAAATGTACGCCTGACTCTCCACTCGAGTACAGCCTTCTGCTTCTACCAGCCTCACTTCCTCCTCAAAGACCTTGAAAATTGACACAGACCTATGATTAGTGAGGATTCCCTTACACCACGGTAGGGGGTGGGAGCTTCCAGGTGTTTGCGTTTAATCTTGCAACTCTGGAAGATAGAATTTTCTCACTTCAGCCCATTTTAAATCCCGTGTAATATCCTAGCACTACTTTCGTGAGCCGGTGAGATATGAATAATTATATTGGTAGTAAATATTGATAATGGCTGCTATGACCCCAGCCCTTATTTTTGAGTGTCTACTTTTTGAGGAGCTCTGTGTCGCCAGGGGTCCTTATTAACATCAGACATGAGAGGCAGGACGCAAGGCTGCAGGAAACTCGGGGAGAAGGCCAGCAGCAGGATGCCTGTGGTGGTCCGTTGTACAGTTAATGCCTTTGCCGCCATGTTTGCCATGCTGGTTGATGAGATGTCTCATTCCTGCTTCCCTCTCTCTTTCTAGCTCCAGGAGGCCTTTGGCTGGGAGCCATTCATTCGTCTCTTCACTGAGTATAGAAACCAGACCAACTTGCCCACAGACAACGTCGACAAAATGAATCTGTGGGTGAAGATGTTCTCCCACCAAGTGCAGAAGAATCTGGCTCCGTTCTTTGAGGCCTGGGCCTGGCCGATCCAGAAGGAAGTGGCTACCAGCCTGGCCTATCTGCCTGAATGGAAGGAAAATATTATGAAATTGTACCTCCTCACACAGATGTAAGGAGTGCCCAGCGAGGTGGCAGGTAGAGAGGTTTGGGGAGGTAGGCAGAGCTAGGGGGTCACGCCTCGACCTCTGTGTCACAGGCGTCCAGCCTTGTCCTCCCAGCTCGTATTCCCATATCCTAGTTCCCAGTGTCTCCAGGCAGCGGGTAAAGGACACAGCAGGAAGTAGAAGCAGGATTTCTCAGGAGCAGGGCCCTTAGTTGGGGGCTGATCCCCTCCTGGGGACTCTCAGATTCCCTCTGGAACTCGGGCCAGCCCAGACCCGAGGGTGCCAGCACCCGCCCGTGCTGGCCCTTGGGGCGCCACCACGAGCCATGACCCACAGAGGGCCGTTCTCTCCCTGACACCCCGAGGTCTTTCTGGGACTTGATTTTTGATCAGTTTTTCCCACAACTTCCCCACAGAATCCATTGGAAACATGACTTTGCCTGCATAACCAGGTAGCTCCCTCGTGACTCATATTTTGAGTCCTGGGTGGTTTTCAAAGACAACCCAGTGAAGTGGAAGGAACCCCACACCTAGGGTTAGCTCTTGGGATGACCTTTAACCTCTGTGCTCCCATTTTCTGTGTGGAATGGGCATACAATTCCCGCCTCACGGGTGGCTGTGAAGCTCGTCCTGATGAGGACTGCACATTCGAGGCACTGCTTTGTTTCATGCCAGTCTGCAGAGTAGAGAGCTCCCCACTCCCTCCTCTCTCCCCTTGTCTGGAGCTTGAGACCATCAGCTCTCACACAGACTCCCTGAGTGCAAATCCTGGTCTGTCACCTCTTGGTTATACGACTCTGGGCAAGCTTAACTCTTTTGTGACTCAGTTTCCTCATTTATAAAATGGGACCAATATATCTTGTAGGATGACTGTGAGGATTAAATTGTAGTATGTCCAAACTGATTTTAAAAGCAGCTGGCTATTAGCAGGCATGAGAATTTATCAGCTACCAGTATTATTATCATCTAGCCAACGCTGGACTCCACCGTAAGTGGCATTTCGGATGCAGCGGGATGGCTTCTGTCCACCCTACTCTTTACGCACGCAGCTCCTGAGCAGCTTCTGGTTCTCTTGCTTTAAGAAGCTAAAGGAAAGGCTCTAAATTCACAGTGGGTTTTAATAGCTACTTGGGGTTTCGTTTCTTTCGTCAGTTCCATCTTGCAGGTGAAAATCCCTCCTTTGATTAGATCAAGAGGGAAACTCACTTGGAAAACCAGAGCAATTCTGTGCGGGTGTTTGTGTTTAGCACACAGTAGGCAGGGCCTATCCCTGCCACGAGTCACCACACACACAGAGAAACCTTTACTCCGGAACAAGATAACTGGAGGCAGTGGATCCACATTTTATTGAATTATAACATATTGACAGATTTTCACAAATGTTCTGATCTAATTCAGAATCTCCTGTTTCTTTGTATTTTTGACTTGAGTTGGTGTACTAATGTCTAGACTTAGCCAGTTCTCCTTTAACTCACTTCTTTTTATTTCATTATTTTAGCACACCCTTTAACTCACATATTTTTTATTTCGTTATTTTAGCACACCCTTTTATTTGCTTTATTGGGGTGCAGAGACTATGACAGTTGACCTAGATGACATTTTTCTTTCAATTCCTTTATCATATCATTTCTTCATCATGGCACTGTGAATACCTATCACAGATGCGAACTACTCATTCATCACTGGAAATAGTTGCTGTCAGTTAGCGGGTGACTGGGTATGTGCCCCATGTTGTACTGGCGCTTTTATGTAGGTTGTTTCATTTAATGTTCACGAGACACTTATGAGATGGAAATTTATTGCTCCCACTTTAGGAGTGAGCAAACTGAATTTTATAGAGATCAAGTAATTGCCTAAAGTCTGATTGCCAATTGCTAATAGGTGGTAGATCTGGGATTTGAACCCAAGCATTCTGCTTACAGAAAAGGTTTTAGTAACTGCAGTGCTTTGAATAACCAAATAAATGAGTAAATGAGGAAACCAACCAGCAATTAGAAGGACCTTGATGTCCTTACTTGCCAGCGCTTGGGTTGCTATTTACCCCTCGTCCAATTTTGTCAGCACAAAAAGCCCCTTTGGTTTTCCCGAATGTCAGTTCAAAGGAAGAATGTGAGGTGGGTCCCTCAACTAGCTTATTGGATTAAAATAATGGGTTATTTTGGTAAAGTACCTGGCTCCCAAAAGCCCCAGACATTGTATGTTTTCAGAAAAGATATTAGATCCTTAGTCATTTAGAAGAATATTTATACCCACTCTTGCCCTCATCACTGTTTTTTCAGCAGCAGAGCCCTGGGGACCCTTTAAAAATGTAAAGTAATCCATATCACCCCCTGTCTAGATGCTTCCAGTAGGACTTTGCATTTAAGATGATGACCTGAACGTATAAGTTTACCTCCCCTCCCTCTCCAGGCCCCACTGAAATCGAAGTCAAGAAACCCGAAAGAGAATTGACACATCTCAGCAAAGAAAACGGAAGGAATTTAGTTATCAGTGAAGAAGATCTCAACACCTTTCTGGAAGAGAATCAATGGATGAAGCTTGAAAATGATTAAAAGAGTGAAGGTACCTTTCAGAGAGAATTTAAGCTGATCTGAACAATGTAACCCCAAAGAGACCTGCCAAGTGTATCTACTAAAGAGTTATCCCAGTTGTAAAATCGACTCCCATCCTGTTCTACCCCAACCCTGTGCACAGAATACAGGCGATGTCCTGTTGGTGCCAGTTACAAATCTGTTGTTGTTTTTGCTATTGTTGCTGTTGTTGTCTATATAAAATAATTCAATAAACCGCCTGAGGAGAGGTAGGAGTTGGTGCTCCAGGAAAAAAAAAAAATCTCTCTTTTTGTGGAAATGAGTAACCCCCTAGCCTGTTAGCAAAGTCGAATTCTAACAAGTGAGAGCCCTACCCAAGTAGGGTTTCCAGCATCAAAAGGGTTTACTGGAGAAGCAGACCCAACCATACAGTAGCAGCAGAAACCCACACCAACTGCTATGAAAGTCAACAGTTACTTTGATTCTTAAGTGCCAAAGGCCAACCAGCAATTCCCAAGCATTAGACATGGGGGTGGGGAGGAGAGAATGAGCAGGGGAGAAGCATGTAAGGGAAATCATCAATTAAAATTGGATTTGAAAAAGTACAACCAACTCTGGAAGAAACAGAGAAACCGTAACTTAAACATCTGTACCTTCAAAAAAGATCTGAGGTATATTTGTAAGATGCTGCAATGAAAAGGAAACTGAATGGGAAAAGTCTTTGGAAATTAAATAAGGCCTCCAGAAACATCCAGTGGACAGACTGGAGACAACAGTTGAGGGACTATCCCTAAGATAGAGTGCAAAAAGAAATAGCAGAAAATATGAACAAGAAAAGAGACATAGATAGTATCTAACTGTGAGAAGTTTCTGGAAGGGAGACTATCGATTAAGCCAATAAAAGTCTTAAAAATGTCATATCTATCAAAATAGGTAAAGAAATAAAAAGAGAAAGGATTGAAGGACTTAGAGTTCAGATAGAAGGGGAACCCCCATGCAACCTCCATCTAGACACAAGCTTGCGAAATTTTGAATTTATTAAGGAGAGAGAAGATATTACAAGTGCCCAAAGAGAAAATAAAAATAGGTCATCAATTAGCTCAACTGAAAAGGATGAGAAGCAGACTGGCTGCAAATTTTATCATCAACATGAATGCTAGAAGCCAATGGAGTGATGTCATCACAAATGGAAGATTTTTGTATCTAGAATTCCTAGCAGGCCAAATTGTCAAGAGTCAAGTCAAAACAAAGACATTTTCTGACATGTAAGTTTTCAGAAAGTCCTTTGCACCCTTACAGAGAAATCACCGTGAGGTTGTTCTTCAGCAAAATGAGGAGAGAAGCCAGAAAAGAGGAAGAAACAGAATCCAGAAAACAGGCAGCCTCACTCAGGTGTGCCCACGTAGACCCTTCCCAGGTGAGCGCGCCCAGTCACAGCCTCCTGGGGAAGAATCTGCACTCTGTCCTAAGGCAGACTCATTGGGCAGCTGGAATGTTTGAGAACATGAAGGACCAGTTCTCTTTAGTCACCAGAAGACAACCCAAAAAGATATCAAGAAATTCAGGTCTGATTATGAAATAACAGCAAAAGTTTTCATGGAGCCTAAGCGGAGACTGGATTTGGCATTGGCGGTAGGTATTTTCCCTTTCAAGTAGCACAGACCCCCTGGCTTTGGATGTGTGTGGAAGAAAATGCCCTGGTTTACTCGGCTCTCAGTAAACAGTTTTTATTAAACAGCCAAAATAATGTAGATGCTATTTATTGGTACTCTGATCAGCCTATGACTCTCTATGAAAGGCTTCCTTACTTATTCAGAACTGACACTGAAAGTAATTGATCCTGACACGCTAAGGAAAAGCAGAAACAGAAGAGATTGAGCATTAGTTGGGGGAAGAGCAGTGAAAGGAAGAACAGGGCTTATATATTCAAGTGGGAATGAAAGATAAAATCTACAGCTGATGGAACAAGAGCCCCAAAATTGGTCTGCTGTTCAAAACTATAAATTAAACCAATGAAAGTATTTAAAATGTCCTATCTATCAATAATTTGAGAAAGGAAAGGTGGGGATAGTGTAAGTTAAATCCTTATCTTTTATAAAAAAAATTATTAAAGATTGCCTAAAGTTAATAAATCAAGAAATTATTGTTCAAACATTATTTAATGATAGGAAATTAGTTACCAGAAGGTCTAAAGGAGAAATTGTTAAAAGCCTTGCCTTAGGGATCAGTCTAGGGTTGAAAGGGTGGGATAGGAAACTCTGTTTTTCATTTTAAGTCCTGTATTATTTAATTTTTTTACCTTGTGCATGTATTACTTTGGAAAATTTTTAATAAATGCAAATAAAAATCCCTCAGTGGCTTCATATTGACCAAGAGTCTGCACAGCCAAAGCCCTTGGAATGGTGTAAGAGACCCACAAGCATTTGCATCCACCAGATCTTCCCCATCACACTCTAGTTCTTCCAGCTACTCAAACATCTTCCAACAAAGCACACTGCACCTCCTCTTATTTCTAAAGGTGTTCCCCAAAAAAGCAAAACCTGCCTCTGATCGCCCATGTGTCTGGTGATCCAGCTAACTGACTGCAGGTTCTCCTATGTTCACTGAGTGAATGAATGTCCAGCAGGGACCAACTAGTTTCCTTCCCAAGAGGCACGTGATACTTGCTTCTATTCCAAGAAGCATTTCAAGACCATCCTGGAGCAACACTTTCCTTCCTGTCTATTCATTTGACCACTTTAGTAAGCTTTAGTCTTCTTTGAGACCAGGTAGTGTCTGAGAATTTCTAGCTATCAGTCCATCTCCTCAATACATTCCTCACCCTTTTCCCTGAGCATCATAATGTTTGCAGCTATTTATTCACCCCGTGGTTTGGGAGAAGCCATCAACCATCTAGTGGAAATCTTCAAGTTTCCAGTTTCTTGGGCGCTGCTATCCCCACTGTCTCCTCCATGAACATTCCTAACTGAAGATTCGCCTTTTCTGACCTGAACTAGCATCTTCCCTAAGTCCTGGTGTCCTTAGGTGCAGGAATGGAGATTTACCCTCATGAATGAGAATGCTTCCGAGATTGTTTGTATTATCTCAGAAATCACCCAGTTTCTTTCACCTCCACCACACACACACCCTCAGCTGCATTCCTGGAGAGGGAGCTGAGAAACACCATCATTGTGTAACTCCCAAGACCACGGGAGCGCCCTATGGAGTTCTGACTTTACAGCAACCTTCCCCAGCGGTATTTATTACAAATCCTTCCTATCTCTTCTTAGAATCTCTGCGATACTTAGTCCCTAAACCAACATTGCAGTGATTCCGCATCTAAGTCAAGAGAGCTGTGGAGAAGTTACTGATGCCTTTGGAATCTTCTGCAATTAAATGCTGTAAGGAAGAAGTATTGCTTTGATAAGAAATCTGGGGAAGTTTAAGTTAAGTCAATGTTCTGTCCTCACGTTGGGGGGGTGCTTTCAGAGGTGTTTGTTATATTAGAAATAAAGAGAATAAATGAGTAAATTAAAAACAAGCCAGGCATTGACCAGAGATGAGGGTTTCAGGAGTGAAGGGTTATGTTAAGGTAATTATGTGCACCTGAGGCCCATTAAGTTACTGCTGGGCGGGCCCTCATACACATTATTTAAGAAATAGGTACATATAGGAACTGAACAGTTCTTTGCATAAACTCCCAAAATTTTCATGTAAAGCTCACAGATTGTCAAAATTCTTCAGTATAATTTGAGATCTAAGATAGTGCCAAAAGGAGGGGTGGGCTGGAGGGGGCGCAGAGCTAGAAGTACAATGTGATATCAGATGCACAATATAAAAACAATCAAATCAAGAGGTCTAGAAGTCAGCAGAGAACCCCTCCCCCTTCCTCAACACAACCTGTGCTCCAGGGCCCAGAGGGGTAGCGGAGTCCTGCACTTTGCCCTGTTGTCTGTGAAGTGTCTGCTTTAAACAGGAGCTAGACCTGAAAGGTTATAAACTCCTCTCCCCCCCCATCAAGGTAAATAGGGCTGAGAGCTGCAACTCCAGCTTTTTATTTTTTTGACATAGTTTCTCCCTTTTGTTGTTGCTGTTTGTGTGGCCTCAGAGCCAAGCTCTTACAAAGGAAACCATCATAAACCGTAATTAAGGCTTTTGACATTTACCCAGAAGAAAGTGGGTGCTGTGGACTTGTTTCTTGGTAGCCAACAATCTAAGCCCAGGGCAGACTTAAACCCCAGGTCCTGATTGGCCCACCTGAAATAAAACGGCAAACAGCTGACCCCTGTCAGTTGCGCTCCAGTGACTTTGCATGAAGCCTAGTGGCTCCCTGGTACTAGCAAAGGGAGGCCTGGCAATAGGGTGGGAAGGAGAGAATATGACAGATGATGGTTCAGTGCCCTCGGGCACCCACCATGGGGAACACACCTACAGTTGAACAAGAGAGATTTGTACTGATTGCAGGGGGAAGGGCGGGTGGAGAGGGGGGCAGAGCACACCTCTGAGAGCCATTATAGGATCTGGGCTTTGGGTGATAATTTGGGGAAGGGTCTGAGGAAGCAAGGCTTCATTCTGGATTAGACGCTGCTAAGAAGCAGGGGCAACTGCATGACAGAGGAGCTCAGTAAATGTCATCAGCGAGGAGTGCTGACTAAGCAGAATGCCCTGACTGCTCTCAAAAAATAGAAGTTACTCATTTTAGACAAGAGGGATGCTTGATATTTTGATGTAACTTGCGGGGAGGGAGAGTGGAGTTGGGGGGGGGGTCTGTTCTTATTTTTTTTCTTTCTCAGCTCAAAAGAATCCAAGAAGACCCTCTGTTCCTCTTACAGAAGATTCAAATCTGTGCTTTTCTAAAATGAGCATAAGGAACAAATTGGGGGGGAAATTGAATATTGTAAGCACACAAGAGCTACCTGGGTAAGAAGGATGAGGTTCCCCTAGATTTTGGGGATGTCTGTATTATCAACCAAATGAAGGTGGAGTTAACACTTATGGTCACCCATGATCTGAAATGTCCCTATTCCTTCTCAAAGTAGAGTCCCTGAGCCCTCCTGGGAGGGATGGGGAGTAGCCAGTAGCCACCAGGGCAGTAGCTGGCGAACAATATCCCTTGACAGTCCATGTAAATTCACTTGCTATCTGCTGTCTTGGGCCACAAGCAAATTTAAAACAGAAATTTGAAATTTAAAATGAAACTGAAGGATGTATTTCCTCTAGAAATTATTGTGATGAGAGGGTAGCAGATACCATGTTTTCCAGTGCTCACACTTCCTTTCTTGAATTTATGATCTCTGTACAACATGTAAAGGTAAACTAGTAAAGGCCTGTGGTCTCACCCAAATTTCAGATGTTATTTTTTAGCACAAGACAAGATGCCACATTGGAGAAATACTTTCCGGAGTTAAATGAAAACCCTTTTGGTCTTACCTGCCTCTTTTAAGAAACTTTTTCTAAAAAAGATTTATTTATTTATGCATATTAGAACTGGGGTATAGGCCAGAGGTGCAGGGGTGAGAGGATTCACCAGAGACAGAGTGGGGAACAGGCAGACTGACTGAAATACACTGCTGAGGGGAGCAGCAGGCGAGACAGGAGAGGTCTGCCGCTTCATGTGGGTAGCTCCCTGGCCAGGGATCAAACTCATGCTGCAGTGGCTGCCAATTGCTTAATAGTGCTGTTTTTTAACCCCTGTGCCACCAGGAGGCCCCTTTTAAGAAACACTCTTAAAATCATTATAAACTGTTGCATCTGTAAGCACAGCTGATCATCCTCTTCCAGTCTAGTCATTGAACTTTTGAATGTCTATCAAGTGAAATTTAAACCCTCGTGACTATTGAATGTCTATTGAATGAAATTCATTAACTACAGTGTGAGTTACTGTTACAGGGTCTGGAAATACAAGATGAAATAATAATGCACCTGCCCTCATTGTGTTTATGGTTCAGTTTTTGACCATAAAAACAAAGGAGCATATATCAAGTAGTATGAGCAGTATGAAAAAATATAAAGCTAAGGAAGGGAAAGAGTATTCTGGAAGAGGGAGTGGACAAGGGATATTGTGCTTGAAGATCTATAAAGCACATTAATGAAGGTATAGTTATCAGAAACACTATCTCCTGTGTGCTCACCCCATGGGTTTGATATTCCAGAACCAGAGGACAACCATCCATGCTCAGCTTCAGGCTGAGGCAGCTCCCAGAAGGCCTAGGTCTCCAGTACGAACCAAAGTCTGTCTGACCCAGAGATGGGAGGAGCTTAGAAAAGCACATGGACCACACTCTTCTTCCTTAATCGAGGAAGAGCCTTTCAGATGGCTGGCTGCAGTGACAGTGAGATGTTCCAAAACATCCTCTATGATTGGAATATTACTAGCTCCTACCACATGTCCATACCCCTGTGATCCAATAAAAAATAATTATTATTTTTTAATTTTATAAATGTATACATTTTAAATTTAATTTTATAAATTCCCAGGCCTGCAGGATTCATTTCACAAACACACCAAAGGCGACTAGGACAGCTTTTATACCTCACTTATCAAGAGAACCCATGAACTCCAGCTTTGTGGTGGAAAACAGTAGAGAGGCAGGAACTTGTCCTTGACATAGGCCACGCTATCATAACAAAGGTTACCATAAATGCACTTAGGAATGAAAAATGTAGTGGCTGAGGCTTTCATAATACTCTCACGTTAATGACTTTGCTATTTCTTCCCTCTCCAATGCAATTTTAATAAATACACTTTGAGGCCCTCCCTGGTGGCGCAGGCGGTTGAGGCAGAGGGTGTCTGCAGCCTCTGCTGTGGGGGTTTGATCCCAGCCAGCTGGGATCAGCAGAGAGCACAGCAGAGAGCAGTGCAGACCGCTCCTGTCTCGCTCGCTGCTCTCCTCAATGGTGCATTTCGTCAGTCTGCCTGTTCTGTTCCCCGCTCTGTCTCTGGTGAATCCTCTCACCCCCCACACATCTGACCTGTACCCCAGTTCTTGTATAAATAAATAAATCTTTTAAAAATAAATAAATACACTTTAACTGTTGTAATGTTAGAGGATATAACAGCACTTGTGTTAGCCTGGATGCTCAAAAAAAGCAGAAGCCAAGATTATTTCAGATGTGCAAGAGATTTATTAAGGGAAACACACGTGAGAGAAAATGAGAGATCTGGAGGGGACAGGGCCAGTCATCAGAGGCAATGGTTTAATGATTGTGACAGTAGAAAGGCTTACACTGCAATGCGGGTCTTGAGGAAGCTTTGTCCAGGCCAGTGGGGACTCCTTGGGTCCAGATCACCCCTCAGAGGAGTCCTAAGTCTCCCAGACCTGGGCCCTCCTCACACATAATCACTGGCCAGGAGAAGGCCCTGGGCAGCCAGGCTTGGGCACCAAGCACTCCAAGCACACCAGCTGGGCTGTCTGTCAATTACTGGGCCGCTCCCTGCAATCCGAGATCTGAAAGGGGCCGCCCCAGTCCTTGTTCCTAAAACAGCTGTAGACACCTGTTCGGTACCATCAAAATGGAAACTTAGCAAACCTCACCAGTGACTCACACCAGTGAATGCACAGAGATGCATTCACCTTCTACTCCTAAATTAGAGTGTGGCTAATCCTTGCTAGATTCCTGAGGCCCTTCAGGGAAAGAATATATGGGACCGCATTATGTTCAGCTCATAACTAAAAATAAATCAAAATAATTTAAATTTAACTCATAACTAGGGCCTCCCTGTTGGCGCAAGGGGCTACGACTCAGCACTGTGAAGCTATCCGCAGCCTCTGAAGCACAAGTTCGATCCCTGGCCAGGATGCTGAACCACATGGCGCAGCAGACCTCTCCTGTCTCCCTGCTGCTCCCCTCAGCAGTGGATTTCAGTGGATCTGCCTGTTCTGCTTCCCTCTCTGTCTCTGGTGAATCCTCTCACTCTCCCCCACACCTCTGGCCTGCACCCCAGTCCTTGTATGCACAAAATAAATAAAATAAATCTTAAAAAAAAATTAAACTCATAACTAAAAATAATTGAAGGAGGCCAGTGAACATTCATCCCAACCCACCGCTGGAAAGCATGTGTGTGAAGTAACCCCAGGATGTGACTTAGCGAGAACCCAGAATTACAGCAGGAATTTTCCTCTAGTTAACGAAATAGACTGATGTACTACTCGTAACATTAACAATCCTGATTTTTTTGTATGCCTCTCTATGCCGGACAATCAGTTATCATTATCGTTTGTGACTATCCATATGTATAACCCAGAGTCAGTCACTGCAGTGCAAAAGTATGGACTAGCACACTTGGCTTTAGTTAACACGCGTCTACCCTTGGGATGGGGAATGGCCTCATTTTCTTGATTCAGGTAAGGAGTATCTTATCAGAACAAAACTGGGATTTGGTTAGGAAAAGACAATGGAGGTGGGGGTGGGGAGTAGCTGTGATGGTGCTACTTCAGTGTTTCCTACTCGGCATTTCTTAAGGCCTTGCTTATGGTAGGTCACAATCCAAACTCCTTAGTCCATCAGCCAAAGTCCCTCAAAACTAGGTCCAAGGTCTCTTGCCAGCTAGCACTATGCAAACCCTGTTGACCAGCCACAGGCACAATGAACACTGGTCTTCCTCAAGTCCAAGTTTTTCCCATTGCACCTCCATGCCATGAACTGTGATTCAGCCTCACATTGTAGCACCATCCACCCTCTTCTGCCCACACTGATCATATACAATTTTTCAAAGTCCGTTTCCCTGCCACCTTCTCACTAAGCCTTATGCCCTGATCTGCATCAATTCTATCTCCCAAAGTGCCTTACAGAATATGTGCAGTGAGAAGGGCCGACTTTCATGGACTAGTTTCTGTTTTCTCCAAGGTGGGAGGAAAGGGGTGGAGGGCTGCATAGTCCCCTGAGCAGTGATGCTTCAGTCAGAAGCCACGACACCCATGCCACCATCTTTGGTAGTTTTTAAGTAAAGCTTTCTGCTGTGGCCCCTGTTGTTCTGTTTTCATTCTTCAGCCACCTCCTGCTCCCAAATGGCAGGTACCTTGGTGAGGATGGGCCTGCTTCTGCTCTCTCTCTCTCTGGAAATTGCCCCTTTGTTTGAAGCCCTTCTGTAGGGTAAAGAAAATGTCAGGCTTTTCTGCTCTCCCGCCATCAGGATAGATGATGGATCCTTGCGGTCCTGAATGCATGCCTGATGGCCGCACCTGGAATAGGATGTGGGCATAGGTAGATGGGATTCACCTGGGCTGAGACTGCTTTTAAGGGCGGCGTCACGGGGACTCCAGCAGAAGCCAAGAAGCCGAGAGAGAAGCAGGAGAAGCTAAAAGAGAAGCCGAGATCGAACAGGAGCCGAGAGAATGCCGGAGAGCCCAGAGTGAAGATCTGTTGGGGGCTGGGAAGCCTGCCAGCCTCCCATCCCCCAGCACCCCTGCCTGCCATATGCCTGGTGAACCCCAATAAAAGACCTGCAAAACCACTGAGGACTCTGACTCCTCCTTTACCCGGTCTGCATGGGATCAGAAAACCTGCACTGTGTCCAGTCCTGACCCTACACCTTCTTTAGTCAAAACCAAAATACCCTCAGGGGATGTGGAGAAAAAGGAACCCTCCTATATGCTGGTGGGAGTGCAAACCGGCCCAACCACTATGGGAAGCTGTGGAGGTTCCTCAAACTGCTAAAAATGTAGCTACCCTATGACCCAGCAATTCCACTCCTAGATATCTGCCCAAAGGACACAAAAACAATAATTCAAAAGGATACCTTCACCCCTATGTTTATAGCAGCACTGTTTACAATAGCTAAGCTTTGGAAACAAACCAATTGCCCAAAAATAGATGACTGGATCAAGAGATGTGGTACATATACACCATGGAATATTACCCAGCAATCAAAAAAGAGAAACTCATGCCATTTGCAACAATATGGATGGAGCTGGAAGGGCTCATGTTCAGTGAAATAAACCAGAAAGAAAAAGAAAAACACCAGATGGTTTCAATTATAGGAGGAATGTAGAGGATCCAAATAAGGGGCCGGTGGGAAAAAAAAAGTAATTATAACAAAGTGAAAATCACAATCAACAGGCAACTATAAACCAGAGACATTCTGCAGGTGGGGAGAAGGGAGTAGGATCAAAACAGGGGTGGGAAGATCACAAGGGACCATGGTGATGGTGCACCAGTGAACTGGTGGTGGGAATTTCATGGGGACTATAACCGGGATGAGAAAGCACACATTGTACAAAAATTAAGAACGATTTAAAATATATATAAAATAAAAATATATAATTAACAAAAAAAAACCAAAATACCCTCAGGAGGCTTTTTGAGACAATGCTCTTTACCATAAAGACTGAGATTAATGTGGGTAGAGACTGTGAACGCACCCAAGAGGCCCTGAGCTCAGCGTTTGGCGCTGGAGGTCCCTCACCTACTCCCTCAGTGTCCCCGAGGCTCCCGCCAGAAGGCAGAACTCACCTGACTTCACACTGGCCTTTGATTCTGAAGTATCTGAAATACCAAGAGGTCTTCTCCAAGTTGTCTTCGTTGGTGGGTTCTCTTAGCTCCCTCTTTCTGGAGCCAGACTGCTCTCCGTCCACTGCCAAGTAAGTTTCTACCAGTCCTCCAAAGACTGGGCTATTAATTTGCAAGCTCCACGGACATTCCTTGAACACTCTGACTTGTTAATTCATTTATACCATATGTATTTCTGCATTTGTCAAGAAACTGAAGCCTACTAAGATGTCAGAAGAGAAACAGGCAATGAGGACTCAGTGGTGGGCAGAACACAGCAGGAGAGCCCCTGGGAGAGCCCTGTTAAATGATCATACAAGTAGATGCCGTATTACAACCTGGATAAGGCAGGGGCAACCGCCCAGGCAGCAGCAGGACTTGGCAAAGTTTTGCAAATCTTTCCTAGGGATGATGTGATATCTGATTTAAGCAAAAAAGTGTCATTTTCCAGGAAAAAGAATTTTCTGCAGTCATGTGTGGCCCAGCAAGAACATTACTGGGCAGGATTTCTACGTATACTTTGTATTTGCACATACACTGGCAGACCAAAAATCTGCATTCCGGGGCTGAGTTCTCTGGGGCGCCCGGGGAGCCCCAACCTGGGCTGCCCGGCGAGCGACGACCACCAGGGGGCGCCGCTGCAGGGACGCGACCGCCGCGGGGCTCACGAGCCCGCACCCCGAAGCGGAAGGAGCCGAGCTCTCGGGGACCGAAGCACACCCTCGGCCGCGGGGTGCGTGCTTTGGGGGACTGCTTACCGGGGAGTGAGCCTTTGCTTTTCTCACCCAGTGTGCAGCAACTTTGCACAGCTGCCTGTGGCACTCGGGGTTCTGCAGAGAGTCTAGGGGGGCCGGGTCCCGCTCCGACCCACATAGATTGAGGAGCCCCATCTTCCGGGAGGGCTGGTCGCGCATCCCGCAGGGCCCAGCGAACCCGGGGTGCCAGCTCCTGAGCTGTGGGTCCCGGGAGAACTCCAGGGCGGCTGATCGGGGCGTGGCCACCAGCCCCGCCCACCGCGTAGCCCCGCCCACGACGGGCCCGCAGCGCCTCTGCTGAAGCCCCGCCCACCGCCTGGGAGGACACGACAGCGCCTCCGCTGAAGCCCCGCCCACAGCCCCGCCCACCGCCTGGGACTGTTCCGGAACAGCTCTGTTGATGCCCGCCCACCGCCCCGCCCACCGCCTGGGACTGTTCCGGAACAGCTCAGCTGAAACCCGCCCACCGCCCCGCCCACCGCCCCGCCCACCTCCTAAGAGGACACGGCGGCCCCTCTGCTGAAACCCCGCCCCCCGCCCCGCCCGCCCCGCCCACCGCCGGGTAGGATTCGGCAGAGCCTCTGCTGAAGCCCCGCCCACAGCCCCGCCCGCACACCGCCTGGGTCTGTTCCAGAGCAACTCTGCTGATGCCCCGCCCACCGCCCCGCCCACCTCCTAGGAGGACACGGCGGCACCTCTGCTGAAACCCCGCCCACCACACCGCGCGCCCCGCCCCCGCCCCGCGCGCCCCGCCCACCGCCTGGCCGGACCGGGCCTCGCCTCTGCTGAGGCCCCGCCCGCCGGGACGGTCCCGCCGCGCCTCGCAGACGCCCCAGCGCCCGGAGCCGGCCCCGCGGACCCCGAGGACCCCGTCGTGAGTCTCCCCATCCGAGCGCGTCCGCGGGGTGGGCGGTGGCCGCACACCTGGCTCGCAGGTGCGCCGGGCTGCGGGACCCGAGAGCGCTGCGGCCCCGGGGCTCTGGCTCCGGCAGTTCTGGTCTCCGGTTCCGCCGCGCCGGGGGCGTCCGCCGAGGCCCGGGCACCTCCTGCCTCCGGAGCTGGGGGCTCGGGTGTGCCGAGAGCGCGTGTCCGCGGCGCGCGCAGTCGGAGTCGGGACCCCGGGAAGGCACCGCGCCCCTCCGGGCTCGGGGTGCTTTCCCGTAAAGCCCGGGAGGCCCGGCGGGCACGGCGCGCCCGCCAGCTCGGAGGTGGCCGCCCGCCGCGCCCGGCCGCCCGGGCCCGCGCCCCGCTCCCCCCGCGAACCCACCGCCCCAGGCAGTGCCACGAGAGCAGCTGGGATTTTAGGGGAACCCCGGGCGGGCTCTGGCGCGCGCCTACGAGATTTGGCCCACAGGGTAGTCTGCAAAACTGTGAAAGGCCCAGACCCAGGAGACCTAAGTCCCGAGGGAGGCCCCAGCTTTTACCTCTGGGTCCCCGTGAAGTCGCAGGGATCCTCGGGGGGGTGACGAAAGTGGGGTGCCTCAGGAAGCCTGAAGGTGAGGATACGTCCTCCCCAGGTTGGCTGGGTCTAGACGGGGCTGATGCGTGACAGATGCCGGAAAGGTGAACAGCGAGGTGGCTGAGGTGTGCGCGGGCAGGGGAGAGGACAGGAGGAGGCAGGTGTGGGTGAAGGTTGGTACCTGCTTGGGTTTCGATTCTTCTTCAAAGCGAAGCCTGGGAGGAGGGCTCGAGGGCCCGTAATTTATTTGGGAAATGAGCCCAGAATAACAGTGAGGAGCGGATGGGACCATCAGGGAGGGAAGGGTGTGGTGCACTGAGCTGTTTGCCTTTGTGGGCAACTGGGGCTCACCTCCTCCCAGACCCTCTAAGAAGCATCTAAAATGCTGGTCAGGACAGCGGCCTTGGCATGGACCCCTGGTGCCTTCGCTGGGTGGCAGCTCATGCCACGTCAGGGCTGCCCGGTGGCACTGGTGCAGCAAGGTGTGCCCAGGATTCCAGGGAAGTCCTCCAGGGCAGCCAGCCGCTGAGGTCAAGGTAGCACCAAGGGGAGTGGCTCAGGGGAAGCTAGAAAGGACAGCAAATAGACATTTCTCGGTGCTCATCAACCCAGGAAAGACATTCTGCAGGCATTCTCTCAATGTTCACCACGCCCAGAGGAGGTGTTATTTCCTTTACAAAAAGGGAAACTGAGACTTAGGTCATTTTTCCAAGAGGAGCTGCTCTGAAGAGAGTGGGAATCTCAGTTTCAGGTACCCCCAATGTTGAGAGACCTCTGGGGACCACAGGACACTAGCTCAGGTAGAGGCGGTTTCTGGAAGGTCCCCTGACCATTTTGTCTAAAGACATCAAGTCCTAAGGCAACTCAGACACCAACTCCTGCTTGATCCCCAGGTCCTGCGGGCCGCACTCACTATCCCCCTGCCCCCCACCCCTCCCCTGGGTCCTGCCTCAGCTTCAAAGTCAGGTTTCAGGTTAGTGTCACTTTCTCAGAGAGGCCTTTGCTGTCACCAGATCTCAGGTAGCTTTCCAGCAGCTCCACGCACATCACAGTTTATCTTCCTCACAGCAATTATCAGTTGCTGCATTTTATTCATCAGCTTATCCATTTATTGTCTCCCCCCTTCTAAAACATTAGATCCATGAACATGGGGGCCTTGTCTGGTGTTCCTTGCTGTCCTCCCATGCCCAGTACATCTTGGGGAGCTTGATAAGTGGTTTTCCTTGGAACACATTTAGTTGTTTGTGTTTCCACTCGGTCCCTGCTCTGTTCTGCACAAGCTGAGTTCTTGCTTTCCTCCACAGCCGCTGAAAGCACCATGAAATCCACTCCTGCTGCTGCCTTCCAGGCCCTTATGGACGGAGTGACCAGCTGGGATGTCCCTCAAGACCCCATCCCCTGTGAACTGCTTCTCACTGGAGAGGCCGCCTTCCCAGTCATGGTCAATGACAAGGGCCAGGTGCTCATTGCGGCCTCCTCCTACGGCCGCGGCCACCTGGTGGTGGTGGGCCACGAGGGCTACCTTCTGGATGCCGGCCTGGCCCACTTTCTACTCAATGCAGTGGGCTGGCTCTGCCCTGTACCCAGGGCTCCCGTTTGGGTGCACCCATGCCTGGGATCACTGGCAGACATCCTGCAGGACTCTGGGGTTGAGGCGCAGATTCAGGAGGAGCCAGGCGAGGCCCTGGGAGTTTACTGCATCAACGCCTATAATGACACCATGACAGCAAAGCTGATCCAGTTTGTGAAAGATGGTGGGGGCTTGCTCATTGGGGGTCAGGCCTGGTATTGGGCCAGTAATCATGGCAGTAACAAGGTGCTGTCCAGGTTCCCTGGAAATCAGGTGACCTGTGTGGCTGGAGTGTACTTCACCGACACCTATGGGGACACAGGCCGGCTCAAGGTCTCTAAGAAGGTGCCCAAAATCCCACTCCACGTCCGGTAAGTGATCTGGCCTGTTATGGTGCCTGATGGGTAAAAAATAAATTTGATTCCTCTTCTATGATCTTCCATTGGAAACCACAGATCAAATACAGGATCTAAGTGCCCCGAGGCACAAGAGGGGTTGGGTCCTCACTGCCACCCCCTGCTGTGGCCCAAGCTACAGTGACTCAGTAGCCAAGCTGGTCTCACTCACCACCCTGTCTCCCGAGTACAGTGCCTGGGACATGCAGAGCTTATCAAGAGCTCTCAAATAAATGAAAGAGAGGATGCTTATTGTGTGAGCTCGGACCCTGTGCCAGGCCCCGTTCAGCAAAATCCCACCATCTTGTGGCTTGCATTATGGTGGAAAATTAGGCAACAGACAGGGACTCCAGCAGGTACTGATAAAAGCCTCCAGGAAAGAAAGTGTGATAAGTGGGCCTCCCCGGTGGCGCAGCGGTTGAGCGCTGGGTTGCGAAGCTGCCCGCAGCCTCTGCAGCGCCAGTTCGATCCCCGGCTACTCCCCGGCCACCGGAGGAGGGTCCCACATGGCACACAGACCTCTCCTGCTGCCCGCTGCTCCCCTCAGCAGTGTACTTCGGTCCTTCTGCCTGCTCTGCTCCCCGCTCTGGCTCTGGTGAATTCTCTCACCCTCCCGCGCTTCTGACTGTACCCAGTGCTTGTATAAATAAATAAATAAATAAATCTTTAAAAAAAAAAAAAGTGTGATAAGCTAGTAGAGTGAAGGGAGGGGATTGCAGGATGTATTCAGGGTCAGCAGGGGAAACTGAGCAATCAGGCTGAGTCAGCATGGGTTTAATATGGAGAAGCTACTAGACAGGTGATGCAGGAGCTAAAAACCTGGACAAGGGAGTCTCTTTCCTCTCCCACCCCTCCCCTACCTGTATAAGCTCTTTTAAGCTCCAGTGGATACACCTGTGGGACGATGTCGCCTTTAATTTAGAAAACCATGTCATTTCTGGAAGCCCTCATCACTAGACTTCCAGTTCCATTTCAGTGGCCAAAACTAGCCCCCAGGCCAACTGGAGCTTCCAGGGAAGGGCTGAATATTGCCAGTGAGCACCTGCAGAAATCCCTGACGAAATCGACACTGCCATGAGGCAGTGTATACCCAGCCAGCCTGGGCTCTGGGACTTCCTTCCGGGGGGCGGGCAGGGGAGAAGTCACTCGCAATGTCAGTGATCTGAGTCACCCCAGCCTGTCTCTGATTCTAATACTAAGTGACAAGTTACACTTCATCAGCTTGATTCGCTTATTTGTTCCTAAGTCTCTTGTCCAGCAAACTAAACCTGCTTTTCTTCATCTGCACCTGCATTTCTTTGCCACTGAATCAAAAGTATATTTTGTTTGTTTTAACTTTTAATTATGGAAAATTTCAAACTTCTAAACTTCAAACTCTCCACTTCAAAGCAGAAGTAGAGAAAATAGCGCAGAGACACCCATTCAGGCATCACCTAACCTGCAAACTGGCCAACTCTTAATTGATCTTATTTCCTGTACCCCACCCCACACTGGCACAATCCCATCTGTATTACAGTACATTTCACTACAGAGAGGAACTCCTGTGAAAATATAACCAGAAGACCCCCTTATCACACCTAAAAGAATTAGTTCATGCTTAATGTTATCATTCATTGCTGTGATTCTTATTTTTTTTCTTGAAGTTCGTTGGGGTTGGTATTTTGATTGCTTGATGTGGCTTTTATATCTTATATGTGAATTTCCTTTCTAACTCTTTATCTCTTGCTATTCTGTAGCAGTTGTTGAGAAAACTAGATACTTTGTCCTGAATGGATTCCTTTCGTCTGAATTTTGCTGGTTACATCCCTATGGTGTCATTTAATATGTCCATTTCTTCCCTGTATTTCCTGTTGTAAATACAAACTTCAAGATTTCAAAATCTCTACTTACAATTGGAAATTAGAGCTAGATCTTAAGGCAGATGTCAGCAAACAATGGCCTGAGGGCCGGCCCCTGCTTTTGTAAATAAAGTTTTATTGGCACACAGCCGTGCTCAAAAATGGACATCTTGTCAATGGCTGCTTGGGAGCTACAATGGCAAAATTGAGTAGATCCAGCAGAGAACTCATGGCCCACACACCTGCAATGTTATCATCTGGCCCTTTAAGAGAAAGTTCCCCACCCAACCTAGAGGCTCCATCAGATTCAAGTTTGAATTTTTGAGCAGACGCCTCAGTAGGTGTTACCGCCCCAGAGTAGACCACAGCCTCTTTCTCTCTTATCTGAAGTTCATCACCAATGCCTAGAACTAGATCCACTGAGCCACTTTTGGTTATAAAACAGTGACTTTAAACTGCTGATAGTTCTCTCATTTAGTGTTTGGGCTAATTCTACTTTCATCAACTGTTAGCCTACACTGTGGTATAACTCATATGAGGAAGCCAAGAGAAGTGCTTGCTTCTCCCCTTTTTAACTAGTTTTCAAAATAGTAAATTGGTTCCCTAGCATCTTCCAAAGGTCACTATGATGCTGGAATTTTTCTGAGTATTGTAATAAACTCATGGACTGAGACATACTGACGTGGGAAATATGTTTCATTTATTTTCTTTATCACTAAAATCATCCCACCTTTTATGCTTGGGAACCTCTTCAGGTTCAGTCCTGAGTCTTTTTATCCCAACCTTTGTGGACTTCTTTGCTTCTGTGGGTAACAGGAGAATTAAGTCTCATCTTACACATTTCCTACCCCATACCTGAGAGCAGTTATTTCTCCCAAGGGCCCTTATTTCCCTTAACGGGAAGTGATATTTACACAGTGTGTGTTTTGATATTTGTTCCTACCTATAGTTGATGGGGGAGGGAGGGTGTGGATGGGTGTGCATATGTGAATGGTGTGTGTATGGTGTGTGTGTGTCACTGTGGATGCATCTGTTCAGTCATGTTAATTAAATGCCAGGAAGATACGGGGCAGGTGTTTCTTGTGGTGTCATCTGCCTGGTGTTCTGATAGTATTGTCTTGATAAAACCATGTCAACTCAGGAGTCTCTGTCTCAGGCCTACAAGTGTAAACTCTCCCAAAGAATGGGCAGGGGGAGCCTGGGGTAAGCACATAATGGTAAAATGTACAGGACAGAGAAGAACCTGGGTTATAAAAAGCATCATTATTTTATGTTGCTAAGAACTAACACTGTAAACTAAGTGATAATCATTAAAAGATGCAAAATTACGGGCCTCCCTGATGGCACAAGGAGTTGGGTCTCAGCACTATGAAGCTATCGGCAGCCACTGAGGCACGAGTTCTGTCCCTGGCCAGGGAGCTGACCCACATGGCACAGCAGACCTCTCCTGTCTCGCCCACTGCTCCCCTCAGCAGTGTGTTTCAGTAGATGCACCTGCTCCCCACTCTGTCTCTGGTGAATCCTCTCATCTCTCACACCTCTGGCCTGTGCCCCAGCTCTTGTATGCATAAATAAATAATAAATCTTTTTTTAAAAAAAGATGCAAAATTTTACCGGAGGCTGGCCTTGCATAAACGGCCTTGCATGCTGAAATCTTGGATGCTATTGGTATGAATGAGAAGTTTGCAGTCAACTATGTGGTCGCTGTATCCACACACAGATTGCTCTATCCTATGAGCTGGTTTCAGTGACTTGTTAACAGACTATGTCTCTTGGTCCTTCCTGTCACTTTGCAGATGTGGAGAGGATCTCAGGCAGGACCGGCAGCAGCTCCTGGAAGGGATCTCCGAGCTGGACATCCAGACGGGCGGCATCCCCTCGCAGCTGCTTGTGCACGGGGCCCTGGCCTGCCCCCTGGGCTTGGATGCCTCACTTGGCTGCTTCCTGGCGGCTGCCCGCTATGGCCGGGGCCGCGTGGTCCTGGCTGCCCACGAGGGCCTGCTCGGTGCTCCCAAGTTGGGGCCTTTCTTGCTCAATGCTATGCGCTGGCTGACAGCTGGCCAGACAGGCAAAGTTGGGGTGAACACCAACCTTCCGAACCTGTGCACCCTGCTATCGGAACACGGCCTGCCGTGTAGCCTGCAGCCCCAGCTGACCAGGGACTTGCAGGTGTACTGCTGCAAAGCCTACAGTGACCAGGAGGCCCAGCAGCTGCAGGAGTTTGTGGCCGAGGGCGGGGGCTTACTGATTGGGGGCCAAGCCTGGTGGTGGGCCTCGCAGAACTCCGGCCGCTCGGCCCTGGCCGGCTTCCCTGGGAACATCATCCTCAACCGCTTTGGCCTCAGCATCCTACCTTGGACACTGCACCCAAGCTGCTTCCCCGTGCCCAGCCCCGAGATGCACAGCTACCACTTCCGCCGGGCACTGTCTCAATTCCAGGTCACCTTGAGCCAGCAGGGTGGGGAGGTACCAAAGAACTGGTTGGCAAGGCTGCGGGTCGATGTTGCGGGCTTCCTCCAGATCCCCGCAAACGGGGTCCCTGCTTACTCATCTGTCCGCCGACTGCTGAGGAAGATGCTGGGTCGGTGCGGCCTGCCGGCGGTGAGCAAGGAAAACCCCGTGGCCAGTGACTCCTGTGAGGCTGTCACGCTCTGTCTGGCCACGGAGCTGGCCCGCTCCGGCACTGACTGCTCCGGGCTGGCGCAGGGACTTGGAAGCTGTAGCTGCAACTCCAGTTGGCACCCCTCGGAGCACCCCATCATGGTGGAGATTGATGGAAACAACCCAGGTACAGAATAGGAGGGTGTGCCCAGCCCTGGCAGACGGTGGGGTTCGCTGACTCGGGGACCCGGTATCCTCTCCCTTCCTTATCAGGGATTTTCAAGAGGATGGGGGTTCGGGCTCTACCTTGGGTGGAGGAGGGCTGAGTGCAGGGCGCATGGAGGAGTTGGTGGAGGTGAGGGGGGTGGTGAGGCTCCCAGCAGAGTGGGATCAGGTGGGGGAAGGACTCAGCCCTTCCTATGCCTTTGGTCAGGCCACGGTGATTCCTGGGTCAGCACTGGACTCTACCTGCTGGATGGGCAGAATGCCGAAGTCTCCCTGCCGTCTGAAGCTGCAGCCTCTGCTGGGCTGAAGGTAAGGCCACAGTGCCGCAGCCGTACCCCCAAGCCCATGGCAGCTGTGCTCCAGCCAGTGGTTCAGGACGGGGTGGTGGTGTCCATTTGACAGACTTGACAGGTGAGGGAGCAGAATCTCGGGGCCTCGGGGAGTGGCCACCAAGGCCCAAGCTCCTAACAGCAGCCAGCTCAGCCCATGCAAGGGTGTTACCTGCCGCCAGGAAGCCCGAGGGCCTGGCATACACAGAACTGCACCCACTTCCCCAGCTGCACATGGTCCTTCTTGTTTTGACCTTTGACCTTTGCCTTGACCCTGAGGAGCACATTTAATTGGCTCCCTCACAGAAATCAGCCCTGCTTGCAGAATTACAATCCTCCTGCCTGGGGGCTGAGGCTCACTTTCCACCACCTTGTGCCACCATCAATCCCCAGTCCCCGGGAAGGGACACCCTGAATAGCGGGGGGCAGGGGTGGGGGAAAGAGAAGGAAGTCAGGCCAGACCCCACCACCTTAGCCTCCAGTCTGTGCACAAAGGCAGGAAAGGACCCAGCACGGGAATCAGCCACCAAATTGGGTCCTGACGGAAGGGCCCAGGGCTCTGCCAGGGACAGAGGCACCTTGGGGCCCTGTGAGCATCCACCTCAGGTAGTCGACTCCATGGGGCTGCTCAGGTCCCTGGGAAGACCCCCCCACCTCAGTGCACATGACTTTGGGGTGCTTACATCCCCTCATGCACAGCTCATAGAAAGGGGGAACTGGAGTTCTTCCAATGTCCTCCATTCACACAGCAGCCCCCCCCACCGGCCCCCACATACACCCCAGGGACCTAGTTCCTCCCACACCTGGTGGAACTGCCTCTCCAGGTACAGATTGGCTGCCACACCGATGACTTGACCAATGCCAGCAAGCTGTGTCGAGCGCCCGTGGTGACGCACCGGTGCTGTATGGACAGGACCCAGCTATCAGTCTCCTGCCTCTGGGGTGGCCTGCTCTATGTCATCGTGCCCAAGGACAGTCAGCTGGGCCCTGTGCCTGTCACCATCAAGAACTCTGTGCCCGCCCCATACTACAAGCTGGGTAAGTGGCCAGAAGCTGAGGGAAGAGGGGGCTGCGGGCGTGTGGTAGTCAGGGGCTCGGAGGGGAAGGATGAGGACTGGTGGACAGAGGGGGATGGACTGGTGGACAGAGGGGGATGGACTGGTGGGGGTGGGGTGGAGGCAGGATACAGACACCCCGTGTGCTTGAGCTTATACTTTTCGCGGCCTCCTGCAGTGCAAGTTGCAGGAAGGCCAAGGGGGGAGTGGCTGGAGGTTCAGTGATCTTCCTCCCCAGGTAGGACATCCCTGGGGGAGTGGCGGCGCTGCGTCCAGGCAAGCCCAGCACCCTGGGGGGAGCTGGCCACAGACAACATCATCCTGACGGTGCCAGCTGAAAACCTCTGGGGCCTGGAGGACCCGGGGCCTGTCCTGCGCCTCTGGGATGAGATGATGCGGGCGATCGCCAGGCTGGCCGCCCAGCCCTTCCCTTTCCGCCGTCCGGAGAGGATTGTTGCTGACGTGCAGATCTCGGCAGGTAGGTGCTCCCCGGAGGCGCCGCGTCAGCCATTGAATGATCGTCTTTTAAAAACAGTAAGACATAATCTTACAGGTAAAGCCAAGTGATAAAAGACATAAAAGACATGGATGTGGGTGCAAAGCTGCTCAGGTGGGAAAAGGTAAATCGTTCACAGCTCCACGATGAGATGGCACCCAGCGGTGGCACCAACTTAGAAAAATGGGTGCTCGGAGTCAGCAGAGGCGGTGAGGGTTATTTCCAGGGATAGTGGGAGCACAAATATTTCCTTTGAACATACTTAGTGATGAGAAGAGTCAACCATTTCCCGCTGAGTATTGAGTGGCTTGGAGCGAGAAAGGCTTCATCCAAGGGAAAATGAGGAAATCTGGTTCTGATGTGGTGAAATGCTTCTTGGTCTTGTTTCCTTTTCTTTTTTTTTTTAAGATTTATTTTATTTACTTATGCATAGAAGAGCTGGGGTGCAGGCCAGAGGCGCAGGGGGTAAGAGGACTCACCAGAGACAGAGTGGGGCACAGAACAGGTGGATCTACTGAAATCCACTGCTGAGGGGAGCAGCAGGGAGACAGGAGAGGTCTGCTAAACCCTGTGGGTCAGCTCCCTGGCCGGGCATTGAACTCAGGCTGCAGTGGTGATAGTGCTGAGACTTAGCCCCTGTGCCACCAGGGAGGCCCTGGACTTGTTTTCCTGTGTGTAAAGAAGCACAGGGTTCTCTCTCTTACAGAACATGAGTCTGGACAGCAGGAGAAGGAATGACACTGGACTAGGATCTCAAATCCACACCCAAGACGTACTGTCACACACGCACATGCAGGAAACTCACAGGAAGTGTGGGGCTGTGGTGGGGTGACTGCCGTGGGCCATGGGAGCACCCTTCAAGGCCAGCGCGAGGCGGTGGCATGACCCAGTGTGAGGCCAGGGGAATCACTGGCTTCTTCCCAAGTGCAGGAAAGCCATCCACTCCCCAGTCGTCATGGAGCTTCTAGACTAGTCGGGGTGAGCAGGGTGGTGAGGGAAGCTACGTCGTGGAGAGGAGCGAGGGAACTGGGTTGGGTGGGCCCCCCCTCAGGCCTGCCTCCTCCTTCTGCATTCCCAGGCTGGATGCACTCGGGCTACCCCATCATGTGCCACCTGCAGTCGGCACAGGAGCTCCTCAGCGAGACGGACATGAGAAGCAAAGGTCTCTGGGGCCCCATCCACGAGCTGGGCCACAACCAGCAGCAGCACGGGTGGGAGTTCCCTCCTCACACCACTGAGGCCACCTGCAACCTCTGGTCAGTCTATGTGCACGAGACGGTCCTGGGCATCCCCAGGGCTCAGGCCCACCCAGCTCTGAGCCCCCCAGAACGAGAGAAGAGGATCAAAACTTACCTGGACAAGGGAGCCCACCTGCGTGACTGGGAGGTTTGGACGGCGCTGGAAACCTACCTCCAGGTACTGAGCAGGGTGCGGGGGGCAGCAGGTCCCACTGTCATGGAGCATCCTGGAGCTCTGCAGCTTCTTCTCTATCCCCAGCAGCCCGGTAGATCGGAATGCTGCAGCCACCTCCCATGGACACGGGACCTGGCCTGTGTGGGGGGCTTCTCAGGTGATACAGCTGTAAGAGGGAGAGAATCACACCTGTCCCACTTGCCTCCTGTGATTTTTTTTTTAAGATTGATTTATTTATATAAGAACTGGGGTACAGGCCAGATGCGCAGGAGGGTGAGAGGATTCACCAGAGACAAAGCGGGAGCAGAACAGGTAGATGTACTGAAACACACTGCTGAGGGGAGCAGGGGCGAGACAGGAGAGGTCTGCTGCACCATGTGGGTATCTCTCCGGCTGGCCGGGATCAAACCTGTGCTGTAGAGGCTGCGGACAGCTTCACAGCGCTGCGCTCAACCCGCTGCACCACCAGGGAGGCCTCAGTGCCTCCTGTGATTTTATGGTGATAAGTAAGAGGAAATGAAAGGTATCATGGAAAAAATGTAGACAGAGAGACTCACAGTTGACTGGCATATGGGGCAAGGGTGGAGCTCCGGGTTAGACTGTCCCAAGAATGTCAGAGTCACCCACTTTATCTTGTCTCCTCATAAGTGCTCCAGAAATGGTCATTGTTTTGCATGGTGGTTCGTGGCCTTAGCCTGATGAGCCACATGAGCGTTCTGTGCCTTCATCCTACGGAGCAACCAGTTCACAAGAGGCAGCGCAGGAGAGCCATCTGTGTTCAAACCCGCGGTGGTTGCAGAGCAAATAACTAACCCACCAACCCAACAGGGGAGCCCCAAAGTCCTGAGCAAAGCACAAGTCCCAGGCCCCGATTCTGCTCTGAGTGTTAACACCTTCAAGTTGTCAAACCTCTGTCCTACCAGAGCTCCCAGGAGGCCGGCACCTGTAGGCAGGACCCTGAAGCCAGCGTGTAAGCAGCCCGCCCAGTATAACACCATGGAAGGATGGAACCAGAGGAAAATGAAGTCAGGAGCTAATGACAAGCCGGCTTTGCCCTTCCACACCCTCTTTGATCTTTTTCTTCTTTCACTCATTTTCTACAGAGTGAATAAGACATCCCCGGTCCGTGAGATCCTTTGCATTGCGTCAGTTCTAGATTCTTAGCGAGCCAGTCTGAGGCTCCAGAAGGAAGGAGACCTTGAAGGGCAGGCACTCCCTGAGGTGCACCCCCACCTGCCTGCTCAGCAGGGAGCCTGAGTGTCCCAGTGCAGCAGCGTTGGGGGGACCCACGGTATTGGGGCCTGAGTCTCAGGACTGACAGGCACCTTCTGATGCTGCTCCTGGCTGCTCCTGCCGCTGCCTTAACTCAGCTCCTCATTGTCTTGTCTACTCCAGCTGCCTCCTCCTTGTTCCAGCACCTCACCCCCACCTACAGCCAGGCTTCCACACTACTCCAAGAGAACTTTAATATTCCACATTCAACTCAAGCACCCTCCTTACAAACAGCATAAAGTCCAAACTGCTCCTCAGGGAGTGGAAGGGAGGTACCCTCCTGGGGTCAGTGTCTCCAGCCCAGTTTCCTCCCCTCCATAAGGGCCCTGCAGCTCACCAGCCTGTCCCCCCAGGCACACCTCTTGCTGTTCCAGCTTCTGGGCCTCCATTCTCTCCTCCTGCTGCTGAAACATGCTCACCTGCCAAATCAGCTGTCACAATCCAACTCGGCTAGCCTCTGCCCTCAATATCGCCTCCTTCAAAAGCCAATACTGCCAGTCAGTTATGTCCACCTGTCTCTCCCATGACAGGTGACCTCTAGAAGGACATTCATTTTCCCAGCACACCTGGCATGGTAGATACTTAATAAATGTTACAGGTGTCATAGCTGTTTAAGTTGTTAACAAATTAATTACTAGGGATGGGCAGGTGAGTCAAAGGCTAGATAAGAAAGCAGCAAAGCTGTGAGGGCACCTGAGTGAGGTTCTGTCCTGGGGAGACATGATCAGAGGTGTCTTCTGCCTCAGTTTTCATACCCAGATGCACAGAATTCTCCCCCATAAAAGAGGGAGTGGGTCAGGAGATGCCAAGGGCCCTGTGCTTCCAAACCCCCATAACCTTGGTGACAGCTCCTCCTGCCTGTGCACTGGGGCGAGTGCCCCCTCCAAAGGAACAGGAGCCTGCCTTTCTGGGTTTGCCCCAAAGGCGGTGTTGCGCAAGCAAAGCAATAGTCTTGGGAAAGGCCCAGGTCTGAGACTCTGAGACAGCCATCAAAAAGCGAGGATTTTATGATTTCTGGAGAGTGTAAGGAGTTTCCAGCTTTGGGGGTACCAGTCGGCCAACCATGGCAGGCACGAGGAACCTCATCTTGGGCACAAACCTGTCTGAGACCCAGGAAAACACTTACGATCTGTGGGTGTCACTGTTGCAATGAAAGCTGTTCCTCCACAGAGTCATTTATTGCGTACTGACATTGGGGTCCCCAGGAACTAGATGCGGGGGGCTTCGTGGCCAAGAAGTAGAAAGAGCCAATGACGCGTCTTTACATGCAGAGGATGGGGGCCGGTGACGGGGGCAAGCCAATGAATGAAGCTGCTTATGATCACGGGCGTTGCACCCACTGCTGAAAATGGGGCTGCTCACCCACCTCATCTAGTTCTCCCTGCTCCAATTTGGGTGCGAACTGGCCATGGAGAGAGGAGACAATAAAATGTAGAGTAGCTGCCATTTGTCGAGACCCTACTATAAACCAGTGAACGGTCAAGCACAGGCTCTGTCCTCGAGTGAGGCAGGGGAGCCTCTCCTGCCCATCAGTGGGCTGAGTATCTTAGGGGACACGGGAGAGACTCGTGATGAGAATTAAATCTGTGCTAAAAGCCGGCTGGTAACTGAGGTTACCGGGTAACCTCCTGTGTGTGTTGGGGTGACATCTGCACACCAGCTCCTCATCCTGCCCCTTCTCTGTCTCCCTTCTCCAGCTCCAGGAAGCCTTTGGGTGGGAGCCGTTCACCGAGCTGTTCGCCGAGTACCAGACGCTCTCCAGCCTGCCCAAGGACAAGGCCGACAAGATGAACCTGTGGGTGCAGAAGTTCTCCAACAAAGTGCAGAAGAATCTGGCTCCTTTCTTTGAGTCCTGGGGTTGGCCTGTCCGGAAGGAGGTGGCTGAGAGCCTGGCCTGCCTGCCTGCGTGGCAGGAGAACCCCATGAGGGCCTACGTCCCCGCAGAGTAGAGGATGCCCGGCGGGGGGGCAGGTGTGCCCGCTCCAGCCCCGACTCCGTGCTTCTGCCCTTGAACTCTGCAGCCTGAGTCCCACTTCGCAACCTTTCTTCAGGAAGGCCATTAAGGTCATAAGTCAAGAGGAACCAGCTTTCTCGGGAATGTGCCCTCGTGCCTCACTGGCTGCTACTGTCTACACTGTTGCTTTCACCAAGTCTCGCTCCACCTCCTCAGGCTGCTGGTGGAGGGTTTTCATCTTGGCACCTTGAGGTCTTGCTGGTTCTTGTGGAGACCGAGGATGACGTGATAAGCAGATGTCAGCCCCTCACCCCTGCTGGCCATGACAGGGCCCCTGATTTCTCCTGCTGGCTGATAGCGAGAGGGATGGAGCCTGGACCCAGCTTTGCTTCTACAGAAATTCACTCCCCTCCTGTCATCTTGTGAGCGTGTTCGAGCCTCAGCACGTGCCCACTCAGGGTTTCCCTTGGCTCCGGCCCGTCCCGTGGTGGCCTCTTCATCTAGTGGAGAGTGGACATCCTGAAAACTGAACCTGCCTCAGGACTGACCTCTTGGGGGTTAACAGTCATTGTGAAGTATCTCACGCACGCCAGCGCCTTTCCTGACAGGGTCCCGGCGGCCGCTGTGGGCACCTTGCCCATCCTACAGCCTCTTTCCCTCCGCAGGAAGGATTCCAGTATGGACTCAAGAAAGACTGTTGTGAACTCAAACTGGATGTGACAGGGTTTGGCCTTCTTGGCTAGGCCTGTCTTCTTGTGCTTCTGTTTCCACAAGAGGCCGTAGCAACCCCTCTCACATTCAAAAGCCTGTTTGTTCTTAGCACAAAAAAAGCGAAGTACTTCTCTGGTGACCGTGGCAACAAGGCCTTGCCAGCCGTCAGCAGCAGTCAGATGGAGGGGTCCCTGGTTGGGGCAGCTTCACCCTGGAGCAAGATCACTGGGGCAGCTGCCCCAGTGAACCCACAGTCACTTAACACCACCCCCCACCCACATCCTCAGAACTTTCTCATACTCTCTTTCCAAGCTGTCCCAACTCTGGCTCCATGGAATTCCACTCAGAGGTTCGTCTCCAGGAATAAGGGCATGTACACCTGCTCCTTTTTCTCCAGCTTGCATTGAAGCCCTATTTTTGTTGATTTGAATATCAGTCGTGAGCCTTGTGGAGACCAGAGTCGCTCCTCAGTAAAGCTGACCTCAGGAACTTCCCCACCCTTTCACAGTAACCCCCGTCCCCTCACCAGCATCCTTTGCCAGCACTTCTCATATGAAAGGGGCTCAGTAGATGTTCATTCACTGAGAGAACAGTAATGACACCTAACACGTAACACACAGTCTCCGTGTCCCAGGCATGGGTGACGTGTTTTCCTGGAATTAGCTCATGGAATCTTTGCAACAGACCTCTGAGCTATGTATTATTATTATCTCCACTTCATAAGTAAGATGACAGACATTTAGAAAAATTAAATAACTTCTGTGAAGTCACAAAGCTAAGAGGAAGAGTTAGGGTTGACTGAAGCTGATAGCAACAAAATTTTGGGGGTGTTTCTGGTCTGTGACTGTTTGATAATTTAATGCACCTGGAAAGTGGTGCATTAACAAAGGGAGTTCAATGAAGTTATGATTTACCCCATGTTTACCAGAGAACAAAGCAGGTGAGTGGGTGAGCAGCACAGACAGATGGTGAGAAACCAGGAATTACCCCGGGGTAGAGGGTAGTTACAACACCAGACATCACCTCATCTCAGGGGGAGAAAGTCAAGGCCAGCTGGATGGAAACGTCAGATGAGTCACTTCCACCTTAGCACTCACAGGAAGGATTAAACATCCCACGAGGCCCTAAGAGCTCCAGCTCCAGCTCCTCTCTGCTGCTGAAATAACACGCTTAGGTGGAGATCTGGAAACTCAAATGCAACACAGTTGGCCCCACTGAGAAGAGCAAGCCTGGCAGGGATGCCCCCATGACCGAAAACGAGTAGCAGCAGCAAGTAGGTGTGGCCTGCAGGCCAGAGGTGCTTTGGGGGCCCCAGTGCCGGGCACCCAAGGTGGGTGCTGAGCCGCCACCAGATGCACACAGGTTAGACGTGTGTAACAGCCACACACGGCGCCCATGAGGACACCCTGCAGTCTGCTCTCAGCCATGTAGTTTTTACTGATCGTGAATGAGCCCTCCTTGAAAGGGGGTGACCCTGGGAAGCATTCAGGATTGAATGAGAAGTATATGTGGAGGGGTCAGTGAACTGGGGGAACCCAGGGATGACGAGGAAGCTGGACAAATGCTGTGCGTTTCTACTATTCAAGTGTAAAAAGCTATACTTGCTCCCCAGGACGTCACTGCAGGTGAATCATCCGTCAACTTGTTCTAATTTATTTATGCTTGAACAGAGTCAGTTGCTTGGAAGAAGCAAAGATGCAGGCTAGCAAGTTTTGAAACCATATTTCCAACCCAGGAAGCTGAGCTGAGCCAACAGGTCTAGTCTGCACGTGATACCATGGGGTCTCTGCATCCACCGCCCCCCGCGTTTCTGCGCACCAAGTTCTGTGTTCAGCTGCTGTATCATAAAATGTCCAGATTCAAGTTGCTAAAGAAGCAACAGGTTGCTTCCTGTTATTCAAAATGCAGCAAGGGATTCATCCAAGACATATCCCTCAAACCGAGACCCTGCCCCTACCTGCCCAATCTGGTCTGGAGGCTTAATGTCCTGTGTGAATTAGAAGTTACCCATTTCTTCCTTCCTCTATGTGAAAAAAAAAAATTTTTCCCTACTGTGTGTTTCTTCCCTGTGAGCGACCTTTCCTACCTGCAGGAAACACTTCCCTTCCAGCCACAAACAGTGTGGTGGTTTCCCCACAGCAAGCAACTCCATGTAACACCACCTGGATCTGGCGGGGGTGGGGGGCTACAACCTAACACAGTTCTGACACTACCAGCCTAGAGAGCTTCAGATCTCACAGCTTAGGGGCTTTGTTCCTCAATACTGTCACCTACACAGATACACGAGCATGCGTGCACGCATGCACACACACACACACACACACACACCAGGTGCAGCCACACCCAGCTTGTCTACGCTCCTTCTGACCAACTGTCTGTAGATCAGAGGTTCCAGTGACCCCCTTGGGTTGGTTAATTGGCTGGAGGGGTTCACAGAACCCAGGCAAGCACTCATGTCTACACTCTAATATGACCGGATACAGTAAAGGATACAGGTGAACATCCGGGTGGATGAAATGCCAGGTGCCTGGGAGGGCACTGAGCTTCCATGCCTTGTGGGGTGCAGAGCTCTGCCAGCAGCTCCTCCTGTTCACCAGCCTGAAGCTCTCTGAGCCCTGTACCTTTGGGGTTGTGTGAAGGCCTCCTCATGTAGGCATGATCAAGCACTGCCTCCAAGCTCCAGCCTTCTCCCTTCTCAAGAGGATGGGAACTGCAGGCTTCTTGTGGCTCAGTCTCCCCAGGCACCAGACCCCATCCAGAGGCCATCTGGGAGCCGCCCAGAATCCCATGCTTAGAACAGAAGACACTTAGCCCCCAAGAAATTATAGGGGATTCAGGAACCGGGGGCCGAGACCAATCCTTATATTTCCTATCATAATAACACTATGTTCAAAATAAGAGTTTGGCAGGGCCCCAGAGGAAGCTGGTCTTAAACCCAGTGCTTGTATCCAGGAGTCCTGTGCTGTTTCTCCAGGATACCAACCTCCATCCTCCTGTGAGAGCACTGGACAAGGAGCCACATTCTTAGTAGATTAGAAGATTCAATATCAGAAATGCCCCGATTCCTAGGAAACTGGATACATTTCAAAGAAAAGGAACACATCAGGATCCTTCAGGGAAAGAGCAATGACTACTTTCAGGTTTTATTTATTTATTTATTTATTAAAGATTTATTTTATTTTATTTTTATGTATTTATTTATACAAGCACTGGGTACAGTCAGAAGCACGGGAGGGTGAGAGAATCCACCAGAGCCAGAGCGGGGAGCAGAGCAGGCAGAGGACCGAAGTACACTGCTGAGGGGAGCAGCGGGCAGCAGGAGAGGTCTGCGCGCCATGTGGGACCCTCCTCCGGTGGCCGGGGAGCAGCCGGGGATCGAACCGGCGCTGCAGAGGCTGCGGGCAGCTTCGCAACCCAGCGCTCAACCGCTGCGAGGCCCTGCTTTTAGGTTTCAAAGAAGATAAAAAGGACGTCACCTTCCTCTTCTCACCTGCGCATACTAACGTGTGAGAAGAACGGGCATGTTCAAAAAATTAAAGCCTTAGGGGTTGGTCACACTCAACGGAGCCATCAAACTCCCCACATCTGGTAAATATTGTTACAATAAGCACAGCTAAAAGGCAATTAAAGTTATTTCTATCTTGAAGGAACATCAGACTTTGTAGGTCCTGTGGTTACCTGTGTTGCTCTTTGCCCTCCCCTAGTGGCCACTTAAAGTACTTTCCAGCTTTTGTCCAACTCTAACAGAAATTGTTTCCCTCAGGGCGAACTTAGTCACTTACTTTTTAAGCCAAAAATAAGGTATCTATTTAGGTCTAAAAGAGATATCCACGTGGACCTCCCTGATGGTGCAGCGGATTGGGCGCAGTGCTGTGAAGCTGTCTGCAGCCTTGTAGCACAAGTTCGATTCCCAGCCCGCCAGGGAGATAGATACCCACATGGCATGACAGACTTCTCCTGTTGTGCCTGCTGCTCCCCTCAGCAGTGTATTTCGGTCCTTCTGCCTGTTCTATTTGCCACTCTGTCTCTGGTGAATCCTCTCACCCTCCCATGCCTCTGGCCTGCACCCCAGCTCTTGTATAAAAATAAATAAATATTAAAAAAAAAGAGAGAGAGAGAGCAAGATATTCAGGTGACTTCCCATGATTAATTGGTCAATATATTCTTCACTGCAAAAATATCCCAAGCCAGGCCTCCCTGGTGGCGCAGCGGTTGAGCGCTGGGTTGCAAAGCTGCCCGCAGCCTCTGCAGCGCCAGTTCGATCCCCAGATGCTCCCCGGCCACCAGAGGAGGGTCCCACATGGCGCGCAGACCTCTTCTGCCGCCCGCTGCTCCCCTCAGCAGTGTACTTCGGTCCTTCTGCCTGCTCGGCTCCCCGCTCTGGCTCTGGTGAATTCTCTCACCCTCCCACGCTTCTGACTGTACCCAGTGCTTATTTAAATAAATAAATACATAAATACATAAATAAATCAATCTTTAAAAAAATTCTCAAGCCACCTTGTTTTTTCAGGGAGGGAAACAAATTTACCTGCTGTTTACCTCATAATATTTTAAAAAGAATAAGACTCTTGGCATATACCACAGTCACTGGCCAAGTTTTAATTACATCTATTGTTAAATTTATGACTTTTTTAAAAATAGATGGCCATTCAAGTAAAGCCAGGAAACTTCCCCAGGTTGCAACCTCTTTAGGTTAACAAAGAAATATCTAGATCACAGACAAATATTCTCCCAAAGTAGACTTTACCTTTCTCTCACTTAACCTCCTCTTCTGAGGAAGAGGTACATAGATTAGCAGTCTTTTTAACTCCTGGAGGTAGTTCAAATATTCAATATTTGACAAGCTTTTCTTGCCTAATCATTGGCAAAAATAAAAACCATTACAAAATAAGTGACCTCCAGCTGGGGAAGAGTTTTAAGATGCCAACCCCACTAGTCACATAAATCATGATATGTGGTTATATTCTTTGTAAGTTGAATATTGTTCTTAAGATTCTTATGTCTATTAAGACCTGAAACCATAAAACACATAGAAGGAAATATAGGCGAAACACTACGTGATATGCACATCAAAGACATCTTTACAGACACGTCACCCAAAGCAGTGATAGTGAAGGCAAAGATAAACAGCTGGGACTACATCAAATTAAAGAGCTTCTGCACAGCAAAAGAGACAATAACAAAAACAAAGAGAAACCCCACCAACTGGGAGAACATTTTTGCACCCAACACTAATGATAAAGGACTGATCACAAAAATCTGCAAAGAGCTGATGAGACTCAGCACAAACAAAGAAAATAATCCAGTCAAAAAATGGGCAGAAGAGCTAAAAAGAAACTTCTCTGAAGAGGAAATGCAAATGGCCAACAGACATATGAAAAAATGTTCAACGTCACTTGTCATCAGGGAAATGCAAATCAAAACTACCATGAGATACCATCTTACACCAGTGAGAATGGCACATATTAAAAAAACTAGCAACAACAAGTGTTGGCGAGGGTGTGGAGACAAAGGAACTCTCCTGCACTGTTGGTGGGAGTCAAACTGGTCCAACCACTATGGAGAGCTGTGTGGAGATTTCTGGACCTAATTTCTGGACCTACTAAACATAGAGCTTCCATATGATCCAGCAATTCCACTCCAAGGTATTTACCCAAAGGACACAGAAACATCAATTCCAAAGAGCACCTGCACCCCTATGTTTATAGCAGCACTGTTTACAATAGCTAAGCTTTGGAAAAAACCCAAATGCCCAAAAATAGATGACTGGATCAAGAAGATGGGGTCCATATACACCATGGAATATTACTCAGCATTCAAAAAAAGATAAACACATGCAATTTGCAGCAACATGGATGGTGCTGGAAGGGATCCTGCTCAGCGAAATAAGCCAGAAAGAAAAAGAAAAATACCGGATGGTCTCACTCATAGCAGGAATCTAGAAAACTTAAATAAGGGACCAGGAAAAAGAATAACTATAAGAAAGAAAATATCAAAATCAACAAACAACTATGAACCAGAGACACTCTATGGGGGGTGGGGGTGGGGAGGGGAGGGATTGGGGTCAAAATAAGGGGATTGCAATTGTATGGGGAATATAAAAATAAAATTTATTTAAAAAAAAAACCCACAGGAAAAAAAAAAAGATTCTTATGTCTATATTTACAGATGAGACTTGCCTGCAGTTTTCCTTTTTGAGTAACCTTGACTTGTTTTCATATCAAAGTTATCCATCTTTCCTGATGAAGTAAGTTATTGACTATTCGCTCATGTTTTCTCTAGAAGAGTTTCATAAGATAAAAGTTATTTGTTCCTTGAATGTTTGAAAGGACTCGCCAGACACTGGAATTTTCTTTATAAGAGTTTTTGCCTACTGATAAAATTTCCTCGATGATTACAGGATTAACTTAATGTTCTTCTTGATTCAATTTGGAAAGTTAGGCTTCCTAACGACTTATCTATCTCGGTGTTCTCTGTCCCTTTTCATTTCTGGTGTTAGTTCTATGTGCCTTCTCTCGCTCTATCTTTTCCCTTCATGGGCCTCAGAGCTGATCTTTTCAAAACAAGCAACTGTGTGAAGTACTAGGGCTCTTCCTGGTGTCCAGGAGGCCAAACGGGGCAGCTGCCCCGGCCAGCACAGGGGCATTGCGGATCAGCAAGGGTTTCTGAAAGGGATCTCTGAGATGGACATCAGGAGAGAGAGAAAACACTCCAGCAGCTGCTACGCGGACCTCTGTCCTCCCCCTGAGCAAAATCGCTCCTAGGCTGCTTTCTTGCAGCTGCCCGCTCTGGCCCTGGTCGTGCGGTGCTGCGCGGCCCCACAAGATGGCGCCGGGCGGCACCACAAGATGGCGCCCTTGATCCCAAGATGGGCCTTTTGCGTCAATATTCTGTGCTAGTTCCTCGGCCATCAGGATGGGAAAATTGGGTTGGACCCAAAAATGCAAACCCTGGGCCCTCTTTTATCCAAAAATAACCTGCAGTGGAGGAAGACAGACCTTCTGACAAGTGACTTGAGTGGCTCCCTGCGCTTCAGTCTCCGACAAGGGTGTAAGGAGATGGAGGAATTAACCGCAGAGGGTGGAGTGTTGCTGACGCCAGGCAGCTCTGGTGTGGGCCTCCCCCAAGCCACACTCTAACTGCATCTCTGGTGAGTAAGCTCCTGATACGTTGTGGCCTTGGCATCACAGAGCAGAAATTCACCTCCGCAGAGCTCTCCTTGCACTTCCCCATCTAATGCCTCAAGCCATTTGAAATACGCTGAGGGGATTTTTCACAGTCTCCGATTTACAGGAAAGAAATGGAAAGTTAAAGGACACAAGCAGTTTGCCACCGACCTTATAATTACGTAGAAGGGGCCAGGTCTCGAACTTGATTCGGTGTTTTGGACTCCCTTGCTCTGACACTCCAGCCATTGTCTCTGCATTTGCCGTCTTCA